TAAGGCCGGCTCCCGAACCAGATGGTCTGTGTCTTCCTGGCGTTGATGATAAGGCCGTTTTCCTCGGCCCACCTGGACACCCTGGCGAGGTCGTCATTCATCTTACCGATGATCACCTCAGGTTGGCTGGCAGGTCCTCGACAGACGATTGTGAAATCGTCAGCGTATAGGTGGTGTTTGCTGTGAAGACAGGCCGAAGGTAGATCGTTGATGAACATAGAGAATAGAAAAGGACCGCTCAAGCTTCCCCGAGGGACACCCCTCACGCGATGGAGCTGCGACGACATCTCGCCCTGGGGTCCAAGCACGATCTGAGGTCGGTGCGACAAGAAAGACTGAATCCAGGAGCAGGCCTGGTCCGAGAAACCGTAAGACCTCAGCCTATCGATCAGCAGACCGATGTCGACAAGGTCAAAAGCGCGCGAAAAGCCTATAGCCACCATTAAGACAACGTCCTTGTCCTCCACGGCCGCGCGCACGCCGTCCACCAGATCGATGAGCGCTGTGTGTGTGCTATGGTGTTCCCGGAATCCAAACTGGTGATCATCAAGAATACCGCGCTCACATATGAATGCCTTCATCTGCTTGAGAGCGACATACTCAAGAAGCTTGGAGGCTGCGCAGAGCAGGCTTATCGGCCTCAGGTCACCAACATCGAGTGGAGGCTTACGTTTAGCCAGGGGGCGCACCAAGGCCGACTTCCAGAGGCTCGGGAACACACCAGACTGGAGAGAAGCGTTGAAGATGTCGCAGAGCACAGGCAGAATCCTGTGCAGGCACGCAGCAAGCTGCCGCAGTGAGATATCGTCAACACCCCTGGCGTTGGAGCGGCCACGCCTGACGGCCTCCAAGACATCCAGCTCCGTGACGTAGAAGAAGTAGAATCGCTCCTAAGGTGCAATCCTGGCTGTCTGGCGGGAGTCGCGCAGGCCCGAGTCGCCCGCGACCCCAACGAAATGCTCGTTCAGAGTGTCGACGTCAATCGGCAACGCAAACGAGTCACGAGCACGAGAGCCAATACCAAGCTCTCCCACTATCCTCCACGCAGTAGACGAGTCGTTGCACGACGCGATCCTGACCCGATAAAAAGCGGCAGGCGCCCTCTCAAGCCCCTGAAAGCCTCGAGGTCGTCTCGCCGACCAAGGCGCCGGTACCGTCGCCACGCCCGATTACGCTGAGATATCAACACCCTCAGCTCGTCACTGAACCATGGTCGCCAGTTATTCCTCGGGGCGATAGTCCGGTAAGGGGCGTGCGCATCGAAGCACCGGTTCACCGCCGACGTGAAGGCCCCGACCTTAGCGTTGACGTTCACCAGGCCGATGATGTGGGCCCAGTCGATGGAAAAAAGCTCAGCGTCAAAACGACGCTGGTCAAGTCGCTTGAAGTCTCGGTATCTGATGTTGGCGCCCACAGGAGGCGGCACGTCGATCGGGAGAGTAGCGAAGAGCGCATCGTGCTTCGATATATACGGGTGATGTTCCTTGTCCGTGTCCAGGGCCTGCAGCCCTCGCACGCATATGTAGTCGATTGTCGTGTGCGTGTCTCCCGAATGATACGTGGTCCCGAACGGCAATGGCGTGAAGTCGTATGACACAAAAAAGTCACGCAGAGTAGCACGTGGATTGGAGAGTACAGGCCAATTGATGTTCAAATCGCCACACAAGATGGCATAGTCATAGGTTACGCTGCAGTTGAGCAGTGCCTCCTCACGTCACTCCAATAACCAGCCTTTGGGGGGTTGTAGACGGCGCAAACGAGAACACTCAACGACTCGACCCGGACCTGCATGAACATAAACTCCGGCCTGTTGCGATAAATCGGCGGGCGCTCGGAGAACGCAACGCAGCGATAGCGCAAGCCACCGCGGACATAGAGCACGACTCCACCGGCGCCAGCACCAACACGGTCGTGACGAAAGAGGGTGTAACCAGTCACCTCGAAGGGTCCAGAGTGCATGTAGGGCTTGAGCCACGACTCGCCGATCGCAAACAAATGCAGGTCACGCTGCGTCATAATGGCCCTTACGTCCTCGAAATGTGCGTCGAGCGAGTGCACGTTGAGATGTCCGACCCTTAGCTGCGTATATGGTCTATTGTCCATAATTGATGGTGGAAATTTTGCGTTCGATCCTCCAACGCAAGATGACACACTTGGCCTTACCGAGAGGGAGAAGGGAAGGGATAGCCACCGGACGGGTGATTAGGCCGCCACACGGTGTGGCCAAACGATGTAAAAGTGATATTAATTCTGCTTTGCAACAGTTTTTTGCAAAAAAAATCTGAAAAAATTTTTTTTCATTGAAAAAAGTTCTAAAAGTATCAAAAAACCAAAAATCGCTCCAAAAAGTTTGAAAAAATTTACTTATGTTTTTTGAACAATTCTAAGCACTTTTTATTCTATGAAATTTTTTCATTAAGTCGATGGTAACCGTCACAACCTCGGACGAGGTGAAGGAACTCATAGGTCACTTTCAATCAGTAAATTCATGATGGAGATCACGAAAAAAACGTCAAATGAAAAAAAAATTGTAACCATAGATGTTGTGAAGAAGTGTACGCGACCCTGGTGCTGTAATTCAATCGGTACGCTCTGAATATTACGACAACAGAGGTCCATTTTGCAAAAACGTAAAACGCCAGAAAAAGCAAAAAAAGGAAAAATTTAACACGCAAAGTATACGAAAAAGACTCACGAAAACAGCTCTATCTCACTGAATGATAAAAATTCTGAAATTTTAAAAAATTTAATAAAAAGGTGACAAAAAATTCTACTTGAAATTGAAATACAATTTTTTTCGATTTTAAGCCCCTTTTGAGCCCTTAAATAGTGGCGAGTCATTATAATTAAAAAAAAACATTATTTTTGTGCAAATTTCTATGGGCCGTCAATCTAATTTTCTTGCTTATAACGAAAATATAGAAAAGTGTCATCTTCCCCGAGCTTGCGCTGTCCACCGCTTTACTTTATAGAACGCATGCATCTTCTTAATATATTTTTTGCAATATAGTATATAATAACACGAGTTAATTAATGAAATAGAAGAGTAGAATAACTTGCAAGTGTTGGAATACTACTTTTAAATTTACGGTAAGGACTGAAAAGTGGGAAAATTCGTAAACTTTGTTTTCAAGTAACGAAACCTTTCCGATACGTCTTAACCCATTAACGACCAAACTGCTTGATTTTTTTGTTGGTTTTCGCAGCGATTTTTTTTTGTAGTTTGAGGCCTCCAAAAAGTTTCTCATGGACCTATTTTGATGTAAAATTTAATGTCCTTTCAGAATTTCGATTCTTTGCGTAATAAAAAAGTTATGGCTACTTATACGAAAAAAAACGTAAAATTTTTTGCAAAAAATCAAGTTTTTGATTTTTTTTCACCATGTTACCGTTAGGTAATCACGATATATATATGATCAGGGGTGATCACGACCATCAAAGTATCTCAGGGAATTTTCATGGAATTTTCGAACCACTACTTCAAACAAAAAATAACTTATATTCATATAAAACATAACTCATTTTGATTCCCTAACGGTAACACGGTAAAAAAAATCAAAAACTTGATTTTTTTGCAAAAAATTTTACGTTTTTTTTCGTATAAGTAGCCACAACTTTTTTATTACGCAAAGATTCGACATTTTGAGCTCAGTTTCTGAAAGGACATTAAATTTTACATCGAAATAGGTCCATACGAAACTTTTTGGAGGCCTCAAACTACAAAAAAAATCGCTGCGAAAACCAACAAAAAAATCGAGCATTTTGGTCTTTAATGGGTTAAACTGGAAAAAATAGCAGTAAGCAAAAAGTTTGAGGTAATTTAGGCTCACTGGAAATATTTACTCATTAAATCGTATTTTTAATCATTTTTTTCTTCCAGTGACCTTCAGCAGAGATTTTTCCTTAACCACGAGGTACGTATTGCAGCGTATTATAAGCACAAATGCCATATTCTCAATTGACGCAAATTGATATTACACTTTATTCTTCAACGAAATTTTCGCTGATATGCAAGACATAATATTATTTATACGCGCACATGATGCATTGAAAAAAATCCAATGCGTAACCATGAACCACGAACATTAATTCTTCGTGACCCTTAAGGTAGGTACATACAGGCGGCTATTGCATAATACTGTAAGATTTGCTCGTCCTACCTCAAGGTTTAGTTGACAAATTCGGGACCAGCTTGAGGAGGATTAAATACGAATATACGCAAGTATATCCTTTTCTCGTAAATAATCGAACGAGCTCGTCACGTCAATGCGTCAGCTAAAGTGAAAAAAAAGAGAGTATACGCATTCATGGCTTCGATATTGTGGCGTTTCTTGTAAAAAAAAGAAGAAAAAAGAAACTCGTGGCTGATGAGATGGCTGCATTTTAATTTTTATTGTAAAGACGTGCTTGCGTGCGCGTCACTGTCGTGCGTAGACGCCGGCGATCGTCGCATGCGCGCAACATCAGAACGATCATTAAAAGATTCGAGTCAATCGATAAGTAGAGTAATCTCATTCATGCAGCTACATCAAAACAAACAAATCAAACGCGCGCGATCTCGCGTAATGCGTAAATCGTGGTCTGAGAAGAGATACGACATCGCGCTCCTCTGCGTTTGCACAGGCCGCTATCCGTAGGTGCGAGTGATTCCTGCAGTGTCCATGAAAGAGAGGATCCAGATTTCGCCGGTGATAAGAGATTGCGTCGTTGCCTTGCTTGGTAGCTCGCTCGCGCTACACGTGGAGTTGCCTCTCCTCTTGTCGACTCATCTCGCTCTCCACTGCATGGCTCATATGCATACGTAAATGTATGCTATACACAACTCGTAACACAAGTCGTAGGTATAAAATCGGCACGCGAGTCCTCCCGCTAATGGAGCAACGGCCGAGTGCCGTCGCGCAGCCACGAGCCTTCGTACACTATGTGTATCGTGTACATGTATATATATTCGCAGAGCCGCACACATACAGAGCGTGGAGTTGGCGCGCGAACGAGGGGAAAGTCCCGCGGCCAGTCTCCGGCCAGAGTCCCAGCCGAGCGGACGGAAGATTCGCGTCTATAATACTTACCTACACTCGTGTACGCGCAGTGTGCGGATTCGCGATCGCGCGGACTCGCTGCGCTGCCTCGATCTGGGCTGCACTCTTGTTCCTCGGTCGTATAGAGCGCGTGCATATAGTTGAGCACAAGTAGCCGAATGTGTAGTTTCTGCTGTCAGCCCCGCGCGAGTTGAATCTCGCAGCTTTTACGCGCAGTGCACGCGTACGAAATACATCAACTACCTGTTCCAGGAGTGCGAGATTTTATATATTATTATATACGTTCGTTCGCGCTCGTGTGCTCGTGTGCAAGTGGCGGCCGCTTGACCGCGTGTGGTTATCGAGCGAAGGTGAACGAGTTGCGCATACATACGTACGTATACGTACTATGTACCGACTCGAGTTTCCATCGTCGTCGTTGTGTCTCTCGGACTATATGTACACATATTTACATGTGTGTGTGTTTATGTGACTGAGTGTGGACCTATGCATGCATGAGAGAGATATACGAGTATACACGGAACCTCTCGGACGAGACCCTCAATTTTTTTACTGTTGCGTCGTAATAAAGACATTTTTCACTTGTCGGGGGGACCAATTGATTTGGCACGTGCTCAGATTCGTCAAAGTTTGTTTATCATCAGCTGTCCTGACGATGCTAATTCAGTAAGTGGCGTAAATCGCGGATCCATCGACAGCTGCAGGAACAGGAACTCTGCCGTACCGAGACGCCCGATTGTCTTTTGATCGATCGATGCGAATCATTGGCACGAATTACGACGAGACCCGGGTACGTTCCGCATTCATAGATATTTTTCAATGTAATCGATACGTATCGATGCGTGCGTTTTATATGTTACGCACTGTCGATGCCGCCGATTGTCATTCAAAAGCCGCGTGTATAACATGGTCGATTTTTTTCGCGTTTCCCACCTGTACAGTAAACGAATTGGTCCCATTTTCATTCACGAGAATGCGACATTGGCTGGTGTTCTGTATGGGGATAGATTTTTCGTCGGAGTCCAAGAAACGGAGGCAATGTTCATTGATCGTATCAAACTCGCACTTGACCAAAAAAAACGTTGCATTTGTCACTGTCAAATCATATCTTTGTTCTATCTTCTTTTTTGTAATGAAAAAAATTTATCGCTCGATATAATGTCTGGTAATAATCTTCCCCGAAGGAGACCCGAAGATCGAGAGGTGCAGATCGAGGCAGCTGCAGAGACGCGAGAGTAAATCAACGCCGCCCGCGCACCGTGTCATAGGCAGAGAGGATGCGGATCGAGCAACTCGACGCGGCTACTCGTAGAAGAAGCGAATCGAGCTACTGCGCTCCGTCGCTTGTACTCGGGCCGATGCGTTGCACAAAAGGCCGTACCACGACTTCCGGGATAAGGAACAATAAGTGTCAACAGCTCGGTGTCGTCTCCCGACCAACTGGTCGTCCTTACGCGAGCAGCAGTAGCAGCAGCAGCATCGGTGGCGGCAGCCACAGTTGTCGTCCCTGAAGTGCAAAAACTCTCTGGGCAACAACAGCAGCAGCCTGTAACAGTATAGTACATACTACTACTATATACAGCAGCAGCAGAAAGACACAGGCGCACGATCAGGTGAGCGGCTTTCTCTTTGCGGTGCAGCAGCCGCTGCTGCCGCGAGTACGACCGTGCAATATGTATAGATATATAGAACAACATTGCGCATGGATATGTAGGCCAGTGATTTTACCGTAGTTTTATAAATGACGAATTGGCGCGCTTTAATATAAGAGCGCTGCATTAGCATTAATCGCGAAATATGCCCGAATAGTTGCTTGGGTAATGAAACGCACAGCAGCAGCAGCAGCAGCGGCGGCTCTATGTATCTCGAGGAGATTTAATTGGGAGACCAAACGACTATGTACAAACGATTTGCATTTCCATAATCGACTGCGATATAGACGCTGTGCGAGAAGAAAGAGAGAGAAAGAGATGTATGTCAGCAAAAAACGAATGTAAAAAATGATCAGCTGTTTTTGTTTTTTTATCCACGAACGACAAAATTAGTGCCATCATCATTGGGCTAATAAACTTTTTTGCTCATCGGGCCACTTACGCGTACGATATATATACACGCGATCGTTATAATAGCCTCGGATATCGAGCGTTTTATATTGATGATCGAATTTTTGCAACCGAAATAATGCAACGCAGCAACAAAAGCAACAAAAACAACAACAATAACAAGAACGACAGAAGGACGATGGCCAGTCGCGCATTCCCGATTCGTGCAATCGTCGTAGAGAATATAAACGTAGCGAGTTTGCGCTGCGCTCGCGATGCAATTCAAAAAAGAAGGAAACCTCCGCGTGGAGGGAGATTGAGAAAAAAGTCTCCGCGTCTAGCTCGTACATGATGGAAAATAATGTTCGCGCTTATTTATACGCGACAACCTGCGTTGTCATGCCAAACATCTTTTTTATACCTTTAGTTTCTCTCTCTCTCTCTTCTCGGACCGGTGTTATAAATCTGAAATAAAAACGATTTATTCATATTATATCCGAGTACAATTTTTTTTGCGTCGAATCGTCGTTTCGTACGTAGACGCAAACATATGCATGCAGTCGCGCGGATTGGCGGCCGCTCGGCAGAATTAGACGGAAAACGCGCCATATAGCTCGGCTACGTTATAATGAGCGCGACGACGTTTACGAGCGCAAGAGCCGTGATTGATGCACATGCGAAAAACTCAACGTATTATGTGTTGAATGATATCAACAGGTGCAAAATCATTGACGTTGGTCGTCAACGATCGCGAGACCTTTCACACTCGTTGCCGCGCGCGTGTCTCGACGGAAAAAATCTATATTTCGCAGTTGAACTCGATTATGAAAATGATACTTTTTTTTTTATATTGACGCGAAGAACGACACGCACGATATGGGAGAGCAACGGTATACGGTAATATAGCGTAAGAAGGTGGCCATAACGCATCATTAGGCACGCATATATCGTGAGAAAATTATACATCATTCGCGGGCTATTCAGTAAGTGTCGGTAATAATTATTATGGCGAGAGAGGATCGATCGCTCGGTCGACTCTCCAACGATGTTGACACTTGGTCGTGTGCATTATGTGGACTACTGACCGCCAAAAACGAGCGTGTATATCCTCGCATCTATTGTACGCATGCACGTATGCGCTTGTATCGATCACGCGATTTCTGCGTATATATAATACGCGCAAACGAGTGCTGCTGCTGCTGCTGCTGCTGCTGCTGTGTCGTTCGAAATTTTTCTTGCGGCTTGCGCATTTTTTCCCCCATCGGAGACTGCAATCATATATGTTTAATGCCAGATTTGCACTTTTCGAAATTCAATTTCACGTCACAGCAGCAGCAACAGCTCTTCGGTTCGCACGGCAAGAAATTACCGTGATCGTTTGCAACATAACACACACACAAGTTTTTTTTTATTTATAAATGCGACGTTTACATAAAATACATAACACGATCTAGGGTGTTTTAATTTTTGACAGTTTTTCTTTCGTCATAGATTTTAAGTAATAGTTTTGTATCAACGTTTGTCAAATGAAAGTTAAAAATTGATATCGGTAGGAGGAATATAACTTGTTTCAAGTATATGCTAATTTTGAGGGTTCAAACCAATTCGACCAACGGTATATTATAATATAGTCTATTGATATTGACAAATCAGATCGAAACGATACATAAAAGTCGACAAAAATGGGAGTCAATTCGACAAAAAATCTGTGGGATACGTATAGGCTACAACTTTTTTTTAAATATTCGCTCTTTCATCGTGTATTTTTAACTTCTCTTTTTTTCGTGAATTAAAAAAAGTTCCTTAACCTTGGATCGATCGTACATATTATACTCGGAATTCCGTATGGTCAGTCTTATAATATTATTCGCCTATATCGAAGACGACGACGACGACGACGACGACGGCGAAGACGACATCAAGGTCGGCTACCGCGACACAGGCAATAAATCGACGAGCTACGTTGTTGACATCCCGAATGAGGATGTGGGTAAGTTCTCCAACGCTTATTGTTCGAGAATACGATCGCTCTATCACATACCTCAGGGTACATTGCCCTTGTAGACTGTATAAAACCTGAGTTATAATGTTAATTTTGAATTGCGGTTAGCCGCCCATGAGTTTAGGGCTGAACGTAAATTGTGATGACGCACATTTCGACGTGATAGCCTCGGTGCATTACGTCAAACGTCGTGTTGCTTGGGTCAAATTAAAAAAAATAAAACATTTTGTCAGCATCAAGATTGTTTTGGATATCCAGCACGATCAATCAACCATTTATTCATCTTATTATTATTCTTGCGTTTAGTATTATAACATCGTGTCTTTCGAATCTCACATTACGACTCGATCGAGCGCTGCACTGCTCTAGACACGCGGTAGATTAAATAATCTGTGCAGCCAAGACAGCGCACATATCGCACATAATCTAGGCGTATACGATGCTCACACATACATAGGCGCTGCTCGTGCCCAATTCGCAAACTTTCACTTATAAATACGAGATGTATACTCAAATGTGTCCCCTATATACTTGTTTAGTCGGACGACGCACAGTCGCACTTTCTCCGCGCATGAAGATTCACCACACCTAAGACGTATACTATATCGTACACATGCACATGTGCGTATATTTAGCCGAATTATTTACCAAATCTTAATGAAGAGATTTCAATCGCTGCGAGCAAGCTTTTTTTCGGTCCGATTTCCGTCGTTTTGGAATGTCGCATGAAATCTGCTGCTACTGCTGTTCCCGCGAGTCGTCTCGAAAGAGAAAATTAAAAGCGTTTCATAAAAATATTTCAAGAGCTACAGGCATCCTTGCCGTAGACGACAGTCTTTATAAAACGAAAAATTTTCCATGCGGCAAAATCCGTAATGCTCGTCGCGTTGCAGCGGAAAAACATCGTGCTTGTTAATCGAGCTCATGCCCATATAATATAATACAACTGTGATCGGCGAACAAAAGCTCGATTATATGCGCCGCTGCACCGAGACGTATTGAAGCAGTACACGCGGCAGAGGAGGTCGAAGATACTTTCGGTCACTTCCTTGCAATATAATAAAACGATGGCGAGCGCGCGTTGGTCGCGTCATTAGCTTTAATGAGCTCACCTTGGATGAGCTTTAAAGCCATTATGATGTGCCTACCAGAAATTAAAATTAACGCGTTGTGTGGACTCGAACAACGAGTTGTTGTTCATTATCATCTTAATAATTTCACAAAGGTCGCACATTATTTACTTATTTTTTTCATTTTTTTTTCATACTTGAATATGATAATGGGTAAAGTCCACGCGCGAGGTGACGCAAAAGAATTGACCGACATTTGGGAAAATTTCTGCGGATGCCAGAAAAAAAAACGAACGTATACGAGATATTACGTATCTCAGGCAGTGCAACGGGTCAATTTGACCCGCTCACTGCGAAACATGAACCGCACAGACGGACACACGCACACACACACACACACACACACAGAGTTAAAGGCAGGTATTAAAAGGTAACGCACACGAGAATGCAAAAGTAAACAAGTCTAATTAAAAGTTTGATCGCGTCGCATTAAAAGCCAACGACACGCGGCTCGTGCGCAAGTATGCGGAAGCCGTGTAGAGGCACACACACACGCCAAAGAAATAATTTCGCGTCCATTGCTCTTTTTGTCGCTCGACGAAATATCGGCCATAGATCAGCCTATATATATACATTTATCGCTGCAGTCGACGCGTTGCATGCGTGTAGATCGTTTGACGTATGGACATATTATGCCATAATAACATATATGAGTGTTTCTGACTAACTTTTAAAATTGCACGTACTGATGTGTAAGTCAGGTAATTTACCATGCACAGTTCTGAAATTTTATCAGGGTCTTTAAGAAGACTTGAGAGATCTACACTTTTATTTTTGAGCGTTTTGGTGGCCCGTCCTTTTTGTATCGCACGTTTGAAAATCGATTTTACTCTTGAGTCAAAAAACGTACTGCGAATAAAATAAATTTTCGATAGCTTCTTAAAAAATGGACTATTAACCAAATGATCTGAAATTATCATGTTACCTTCCTTTATTCACATACTTTAGAAAAATTTGTGACCTGAACTTGATCCTCCTAAATTGGAAATTTCCCAGAATGTTTTCCGCGCGTACTGGATTATTTGAACTTTTAGCTTTTTTTATACATTTTCATTTTTTACAATGGACTATTGTTTTTTTTTATATCTGTATACATGTTTAAAAAGGGCTGGAAAAGACGAACAAAATGAGCCCAACCAGAACTCTGTCCCTTATTTAATAAGAATTGTACGCTGGATTGAACATTCGATAATCCTGCGTTAATCACTTAAAAATTTTTGAAAAAAATTTTTTTTTCATGAAATTTTTTTCTACTATGAATAAATTAATTAATTTATAAAAAAAATTTTTTTCATGGGAAATTTATAAACAATTTTTATAAAAAATTTTTTTTTTCATGAAAAATTTTTATAAATATATTTTTTTTCATGAAAAATTTTTTTCTTATCATGAATAAATAAATTATTCAACAAATAATTTTTTTTCACACACTTTCTTTTTTTATTTAAAAAATTTTGCTATATCATCAAGGGCAAGGCCGTAAAAAAAAAATTTTACATTTAATTCATTTATAATGACTACGCAATTCGCCTACGTAGATAATTATGTGCGGGATGATATAAGTAATGTCACATGAAAACACATGAAAGAAAAAGGGGTTTTTTCGCTTCAAAAAGTGCATAAGGAAACTTGAAAAAATCCAAAGAAATTTAAGGTCATGTTTTTCAATGCATAAAACAGAGAAAAAAATTTTCGAGTTTGATATTGGCTCGTATCGCCGTATATAAATTTTCCAAATTTTTAATTATTTTATCTGAAGGCCTGAAGCCCTCGAAAAATCTGAAGAAATTCAAGGTGCTTAGTTTTGTTGATATGTACTATTATGAATTTTTTCAGATTTTTTAATTACTTCAGGGCTTCAGAATGAATATAAATAAAGAATGGACGTTTATAGGGGTGGAGGGGGTAGGAGGGGGGGATGGGGAGTAAAATTTTGGCTTTAGGATTTTTTTACCATGTACTATAACATATCAAAAGCGCATCTAGATCGGTGTCATTCGAAAATTTGAAGAAGTTTTATTTTGACCCACATTTAAATCGGGTTTCCCAAATGGACTATGGAGGAAAATAAAGCCCAAAGTTATTTTTGGGATTCTTTGTTGATAATATTCAAGAAAAATTCATTCTGGATACTGTGCCGCTAAATTTTTCATCAAAAATTTTTTTAGGCGTTATTTTAAAAGTTAGTCAGAATCACTCATATAGCACGACGACGACGACGTCTGAGAGCAGTACGCAAAACCAGTAGCTGTTAAATAATTGATTCGCACGCAGTGCAATACTCAGGATTGGCTGTCTTACCGCCGAGAGATTGAGCCTATTATCGATCGCGACAAGCTCTCGTTGTTATTCGCGCATTTATGTATGTATGCTATCCACGAGTGACAATAAAATTAGTTTAATCCGCCTTTAAATTAAAAGCTTACATAATTTTAGTTAGTTAATGAAAGAAGAAAGTGAAAATCCCCGATTATTGCGCTTGGTCAATATATTCATAGTATATAAACGCTGTCTCGGCAAGGGCATATACGCTATACATGCACCAATCGCAGCAGCGCGTTTCTCAATTTACAATTGGAGACGAGCATGTCAGGCGAATTATTCATCGTATGCGAGCGAGCGAGGAGTCCGAATCAAACCTCTTCTATGTACGTGCGTGAAAAATCCGAGTGCGTGCGTATTATTGCAGTACAGCGCCAGAGCAGATCGAGAGAAAAATGTACGAGTGAAAAGTTAATATCCGTCGACGGTGTATCATAACGCAACGGACGCTGCACTCCTGGCTCGCTCGTTGCGAAAAAATCGTTGTGCATGTAAAACGATGTATAAGGTATCGGTGCGTCCACGTGCGCACGTGCGCGATCCGTAGATCGCTGCCACGCGACCATAGATCGTCGAGGCAGTTTTGCACGACTGCAGTCAGCCGCGCGCGTGGACTGCACACAGCAGGGCACCGAGTGCATTTTCGTCTAAATAATATCTCTCTTTCTCTCTTTCTCTTTTTATCGGGTGAAAAAATTAATCGTCGCGATTGTGCGCGAGATGAAAGACGTCCGAGGGAAATGCAAACGCGTGCGATGTATTGCAGGTGCTCTCAGTTGCAAAAATGATTCGAGCGAACAAGGTAAACTCAAGTAGCTGATGTATTGCATTTTTTTTCATTTTTAATGTTTAACATTTGCATACGCATTGTTGTTGCCACTCGGGCAATAAAATAAAAAACGTGCGGAAGGTAAAATTTATGTATGAAATTTCACGGCCGAATATGCCTGTGGATGCGCTATATAGAAGCTCGTCGAGCCTCTCGGGCGATTTATATTTCTTGTTAATGCGTCGAGCAAACAAGTCGAGTATCGATTTCGCGAAAAAGTGCGTACGACCGCAACGACTTGAGCAATCCGACTGTCTGCCTTTCGAAAAATATAGGAAAAAAACCCCCAGTGGCTGCAGCATTATGTACGGCTCGCGTATAAGACCTTTAAATTGCTAATGGAACGTGCCCGCAATAGCTATAACACAATGTCGAGCTTTGATATAGTCATATACATGCGCGAGGAGACTACTCGTCCGACTGCGTTCGCCTGCTGCTACAACAGCCGATGCACAAAAGACCGGCGCATCGCTTCGTGCTTGCTCTTTATTAGCTTGTAAATGCGCTTATTATTTGTCCGCGTCTTCTCTATGCGTGTACATGTGTAATTGGTGAGTGGGCGAAAAAAAAGTGAAAAAAATGCACGTGTTATCAAGCGGTAAACGCGTGGACACGCGATTCGTGCACACGACCCAATGCGCATCGCTATATGCACATACGTACGTGTGTAGCGACCGGTAGTAGTACATGTGTCCGCGGCAGGTTCTCATTATTGCATGCATATAGTATGGGTATTACCGGTATTCGCGCGTCATGCGCGCGCTCGAAGCGTCGAAAATATTTTTCCAGATTTTCGCTAAACACCATCGTACGTGTTATTATAGACGTGCAATGTTTTTTGGGACGAAAAATTCACTCCTTGCGTGACCGTACGCCGATGACTGTACTAAAATAGTATTGCTCGATTGAGAAAAGAGAAGATTTGATTAATTAACGTAACGTGGCTTGATCCAATCATCGAGTACGTGAAAAAGTTGAGAAACATGAGAAAATTCACGGCCAGTACGGAGAAATCTTTTTTGATGCTCACCCATTACTCTTTAATGTCAAACTATTATGTCTAGACAAGATTTTTTTATATTTTTTTTAAATTCAAAGAGATGCAATTATTACCAAAAACGTAATTATAATTACACCCGATGTTTCTGAATAAATGAGAGGAAAATTTTCAACAACAAAAAAATCATCAGCTACAATGTGATAAATTGAAGGATAAAACTGAAGGAAAGCACTCTACAATTATTTTATTTAGTATCTCATGTACCTCATTAGTGTTTTATTACTTAAATTAATTTTCATGCAACTTTTTCTTTTATTTATTATGACCCATGCATACATCATTTTATTCGAAATGTATGTTAATTCATTTGCATTCAGTTGATACTTTTTGAGCAATAAATTATCTAGAAATCATCTTAGACAAAAAGTGCTGTAAAAAGCATTTAAATCAAAATGATTGGTACTGAAGGCACGTGATAACGATAATGGTAGGGTAACCTTGTATACTTATTGGTCATTAACGTTCGTTATGAAGCTAATTTCGATTTTTTTACGACAAATCAAAGCTTCGTCGGATATAAACACGCGAAAAATTACAGGTAACTTTAACGACCATTATATGGCTGATACTTGAACAAATTGAATGGGCAAAAAATGTTAATAAAATATTTTCTCAAACGATCAAAAATAAACTTTCGCATCTAATTAAATACCAAAAAACCACAGCGTAAAGGGTTGGAAAAAGGCCTGATATAAAGTATAAGTAATTAAATTGACAAATCTCTGTTAGAATAATGTATAAAAAAAATGAACTAAGATTTTGTTCAAAACAACAACAAAAAATTTTGAAAAATTACTTGTTTCGAAATGAATGTTGGCCCACTCGATTTGACCGAGAATCATTCATGGAGTCGTATATCTTAAATGTAAAATGTGCGCATGGCAAGGCATGGTAAGGCAGGCGAATCGCGGCAAAATCATTATGGAATTTTCTAATGCGTGAATCGAAATCAGTAGAGCATCTTAAAATCGCGCGTAACGCTCGCTTACATAGTTTGTTTCCGGTGTATAGCGCATATAAAAAGATGCATGGAAATGCGCACGTGGAGAAAGCCGTTATATACACGCGGAGGGCAGCGCGCGAATATAACGCGAGCCTGTCGGCACGAAAACCATACCAATGCCGACTTTTGCACCGATGCGCCGTTTTTTTTATATTCTTTGTTCCTTCCCGCATTTCCAGTTTTATTCGCCTGATATAATATGTTTTATCGTTTGCGAGTGAAATTAAAATATTGCTTTTTTTACCATAAGCCATGTTAATTATGAGCGATTTATTGGTATTAAATGTTTTTTGTAAAGAGTTAATAAATTGAATGAGCTCTAAATTCTATGTTTGTTCAGAAGCCATTCGATATTCAATGATATGCATCGAATACGAGCACGCGTGCGAAGACTCAATAGGCCCAAAAATTATGTGAGTCAGCAGTAAAGGATCAATGTACATAATATTGAATATAGAACTGATATTCGGCTCAAGTGTCGGCGCCGCGCGAGCTCGTGGAGTGTATACATACTTCAGATCAATCAAAACTCGATTGACAAACGAGATTCGATTGTGTGCCTGAATTACCATACAGTAATACGTAACGTGAAACTTTGCGAAAAAATTGAAAATTTATAAAAGCAAAAAAATTGCATTTGATTACTCTAAGAAACGCAACCGTGTAAAAAATTGTATTCATCAAATAAGCAAATTACTTTTCAGAAAGATGCCTGCTCTTAAACTATTTGGCCGTAAATGGCTCGCTGCCACGGACGACCTGGTTTATCCAGGCCTTTTTGAGCTTTTCATCAGGATCACATGGTGAGTGGTTTTCGACTATTTCGCTCAAGCTGCCATAGATTTTTAATTCGATTGCTATATGATTCATTTCAAAAAAGTACGTTGTTCTGGTGGCACAGCCGACGGGAAATGCAAAAATAATTTAAACTGAAAGTGTTGTTACTTTCATTGAACAATATTTTATCATTTGCCATTCTAAAATTGTCATTAATTACTGACGATTTCATACAAAACGTCCCTTCCATGACTTGTCTCTCAACTTCACAAAAGTCCAATTGTCCTTTTTGCTAAATAATTTTTATAATAGTACATAGCAAATTGAGCGCAAATAATTATAACGAATGAAAGAGAAATATTCGATGAAAAATTAAAAAAGGATCGAAAAATGAAAAGTCCAAGGGCGAACAAATTAATTATAAAATCAAATCCAGCAAGTTTTTCCTCTTTAGAAAAATTGTTCTTTTCATCCTTTTAAGATAATGTATTTTTGGGAGAATGAATCATGTGCGTATAACTTGCTGGACAAAAAAATCAAATCATTCCGATGAAAACAAACTCACGTCACGAATTGTTTTTTTACCATTATATCATATTTTGTCGTGCATTGCAGGATAATTCTGATGAGCATCGCCTGCCTGAGGTACTATCCGGAGACTTGGAAATGTCGCACGGGTGGCGACCTCGTGCGAGTCTTCCTCATCGGCGAGATGGTCATTTTAGCGACAACGTCGATCCTCGTCGTCCTCATAGTGAATCAGAGCGCGCGAGGCTCCATAGCCGACACTTACGCGAGACGCTACGTCCAGCCTCTCCTAACAATAAAGTAATAACGATAAAGGCAACATCAATTAGCCATTTTTTTAATACAAGTCTATTAAAAATGAATCAAAATGTAAATTCAGAATCCTACTGGTGCCGTTCGAGGTCACGTGGAACATCCTCGGCACCATATGGATATTCAGCGAAGAAATCGAGTGCGGGGCCGAGCACTACACCCTCGGGGTCGTCGAGGCCCTCGTGCTCTTCGACTGGGTGCTGATCGGCCTGACGATACTGGGCCTCGCGCTCATCTTCGATCCGCTGGGCTCGCTCGGCCTCAAGGACAAGGAGCTCGAGGACTCGATCGAGCATCACGGCAAGGTCTCGCGCATCTGGCTGCGCAGATTCAAGTTCTTTTGGTGGATGAGGCAAGACGAGAGCGCCAGCGAGACTTTTCAACACGTAGCCGGTAAAGAGGAAAAAAAGAAAAATATAGACACGATTTTTGTATATTATTTACGCGCGCAAGTCGCACGCGTCCGAGCGAGCGAGAAATTCGTGTCAAGTGCACACGGCGCATAATGGGTATTTTCAATTGCATTCCGATCGTGACAGCTTGGCGGTGGCGGCGCAACGTATAATATAATATATACGCGCTGCGATTCGAAGATTACAAAATATGTTGTCTCGACGTGCGTGGCTTATTATGATAATGCGGGCGAATTACTGAAATGCTCTCGGCGCGATTTTCTCTCGCTCATTCTCTCGTATACGACTCTCGATGGAAACTGGAACCGATGACACTGGCAATCTTATCGATTTATTAATTTGTTTCGTTGCAGGTCTACTGAGCGCTCTATTTCGCGGAACCGATCTGGTGCCGTCCGACGTAATGGCCGGATGCGTCTTGCTGCGCGTACGACAGAAGCGAGAAACGCTCGAATTGCGAAGGCTCAACATTCTCGCACTGCCCAAGTTCACCACGGGTAAATGACATTGTTCTCGCCTTCTCGATCCACAGAAAAAGCGCGTGATAATAAAAAAGAAAAATTTACGCTTCTGACGCAGACAGTAGAAAAATATTCGAAGACACGCCGGGCTGGATGTCACTGGAGTGGGCCCATCATTACATGCAGCTGTCGATCGCCCTGTACGGCTGGCTCTTCGTTCTCTACAGGCACGCTTGCACCGGATGTTTCCGCCTCGCTCGCGAGATGACCTGTTGCTCCTGCCTTCGGTAAACTCTATGAAATCTCTACTTATTCCTTTTTTCTCTTCTCTCAATTTATTTTTAGTGCAGCCATTATGCACAAGTGATAACTCAAAAAGGCTTAAAATAATATAAATAGGATATTACTGCTCCGGGATCACGAAAAAAATGAAAAGTTTCAGGGTACGTGCGATTTTCACGACCGAATGTCCCGAAAATATATTTTCTCAATACCCAGTAGCAGAAAAATAGTTGCTTTCGGGCCATTGGTACGTAAAAAAAGTTTTACAACTTTCGAAAAGGATTTTTGTCAATTTTCTTGGTATTTTTCAATAACCCTCTCTAAAAATTGAATGAAAATGTTTTTTCTTTCAAGCCCTGTAAACCCTTATATTGATCAAGTCAGTGGCTAGTTGAGTGCGCGCTTAGATAAATAGTCTTATCGTCGCGCAGTGCGCAGAAAAGGCCTCGAGGAAATTCTGAAAATTCATTATCAACGTCCGGTGCACTTACATGTGCAACAGCAGTAAGACGAACTCTTATATAAATAATAGCCGAGTCGATGTGCGCCCGCGAGTGTGCAAAGTGACGATCATCGTTGCTCAGGCTTTTAAATTACGCAAACGGCCCGAGAAAGCGTTCGTGTCTTCTTTTTTTCTTAGCTCTAATTGTTTCATTCCGCTCGCGATTATCTTTACGTAAAAACAGTAACAATAACAAAAACATTAACAACAACAACAACAACAACAATCACAACAATGATAACAAAAAATTCTCATTGAAAAGTTAATCTTATTCCCTTTGTTGCATGCACACAGACCAAAGCGCAACGTTGTGTTGGACGACAATTGCTGCCTGTGCAGTCTGTCCGGCGTGAAAACCCTATCCAAACTCTCGGAAGAGGACATACTCTTTGCGTCCTTCAGGAATCACTTGTGCGAGGTAATGCTATAAAAAGTGCAGTTTGAACCGATTCTCGACACTTTAATAAACGACTCATCGTCGTCATTGAATCGTCGTATATTACAGATACCGTTTTGTGTACTGGCCGATCACAAAACGTCGAGCATCGTCGTCGTCATTCGAGGCTCGCTGTCGCTGCGAGATATCATTACGGACATCGCGGCGGCCTCCGACTCTTTCGAGCCCGAAGGACTTCCGCCCGGCAGCATGGTAAAAGCCTCTCTATAATAATCGCCGCGCTCTATACATAATTACACATCTTGAGAGCGAGCTTGCCTTTTTTTTTTGTTTCGTTTCAGGCTCACCGAGGAATGATAATAGGGGCCAAAGTGATATTGAAGCAGCTGGATCAGTACAAGGTGCTCGAGACCGCCTTCAAAATGTACCCCCATTACGACCTCACGCTCACGGGCCACAGTCTCGGCGCCGGCCTAGCAGTATTGTTGGGGACGTTGATTCGTCCTCGTTATCCTTACCTTCGAGTTTACGCCTTCGCAACTCCTGGTACGTATAATAATATAAGAGTTCTATTGATGATGTCAAAATTTCGCTCTATTTTAAATGTTTCTCGCAGCTGGTTTGCTCAGCCGAGAGGCCGCAAAGGTTACCGAGGAATTCGTCCTGTCCATGGGTTTGGGCGACGATTTAGTCATGAGACTTAGTGTAGACAGTATAGAGAATTTTCGCACGTCCCTGCTGATTACTCTCCAAGCCTGCAGGCTACCCAAGGTAAGCGTATAGTAAATAAAGACAAACTCGACGATTATGGAAAAAAAAATTTTATTCGAAAATACGAGTACAAATTCGTTTTTTATCTCATTACAGTACAGAGTTGCCCTCAATGGCTTCGGATACATGCTATTCGGTGTACCCGACCGGGATCTCAACAGAACCTGGAGAAATGGCAATACTATCAACTCGATCCCGGGACAATTGCCACTTTTGTCGGAAGCGACAACACCGCGACATTCGGTAATGATTACAAACTATCGTATTTTTATTTTATAAAATCTAATATTTGCACCTTTGATATACATATCATTTGTTATGTAATACAGAAATTTTCAAATAACATTTTTAATTTTCATTATAAAATTCAGTTCCATTAACAGTAAACTTGGCATTGACTGTCAAGAATTTATTATTATTTCACTAATTTCCTTGTTTTTCAATACCTTCCTCTCGATTTTAGGAAATCGCTATTTTAGAACGAGATGTCTCTAGGAGAAGGTACTCAAAAGTTAGACTATACACCGCAGGAAAAATTTTACACATCGCGCGCTGTAAGCCAAATGTGAAAGAAAAAAAAAGGTATAACTATTTTAAAAAGTAATTGCACAGCTTATTAATGCATTTTTTCCCAAACTGATTACTTATACAGATTTTTGTTTCCTTATTTTGCAGTAAACAAAAAAATAAAGATAAGAAATTCGAAATGCGATGGGCGCAACCGGAAGAATTCATGGAATTGACGGTAATGCCGCGCATGCTTTTGGATCATTTGCCTGAAAATCTCGAGGAAGCATTATCGATACTCGTTGAGCAACAAGATAGTTTGCCTATCGATCTATCTCCGACTTGATGTTGAAGTTCATTCGGAGACAACTTGAGTCTAATCAAATTAAATTAAATATTTTTTTTACGTTCTATTTATGTACATAAATAAAATTTCGATTGCTACTTAATGATAATACAACACATTAAAAATATAGCGTTCTATAAGATTAGCAGTTTTATACAAACGAATATAAAAACAAATTTTGTAAATAAGTTGAAATTTGACATAAATTAACATTGAAACTTTATGGTCAAATCTTTCAAATAGTTGAATGCAAAGTGCTGTGTTTTGTATGTAAATAAATATCTATATTACAAACAATTATTACTTGAAACATAATTTTAAAAACCCTAATTTTTATACCAACTAATACATAAAGCCTGGTGACGTGCCATACGAACTTTGCTCGAGCGTGCGGTTGGCTTCGACATCGTTCGTTATAAAGCTATCTTCCATGAAATCGTCTTCTTCTTCTATTTTTTCTTTATCACTTGTAGATTCTGCAATATTATGTAGTGCATTAGAACTGAAGTTGTAAAACGGTTCTATTCTCTGACCACTGATTGTGAGTAAATACGGATCGAACGGGAAGAACATATCAAGCCAATTTACGAAATGTGTCGTTGTATGAATTATTGGTAAATTGCTTCGAGAATTTCTTTCAATGATTGGGTAACAGTAAGCTAACTGATAATTACGTGTGACAGCGGCAAAATTTTGGATTACAGCTGTCTGACAAAATTTTAATGGGTTTAATTTACAATTGACGATTTTATTTAAATTAAGACCTTGTAAAATCAATAGACCTGAAAATTAAAAAAATATTAATGCAATTTTGAATTTTGTGTGTTATAATTAAAATTTTAACAACTTACTTTTCTTTGTGTCAATTATGTCTTTGTGTCTGAAAGCTAAAAGATAGAACATAGCTTGACAAACTGAATAAAATACAGTGTGAACTCTTACATCACTATTAACACATTCCAGACTCATCTCTTGAGAGCTGATATAGCTATGAATCCACGCAGACATTTCAACAAGAGTATTTTGGATAACCCTAAATAATTATTGATAATTATTGTTATGGAAAAGAAATAAATTAATTTAAAAAATATAAGTATACAAAATTTTATATGAAAATTGCTCAATCAACATTACTTACACAACTGGTATGAATTTAGCTCTAGCTAAGAGACTAGAAATGTAAGATACTGCAATTTGTCTGATGATCGGAGCTTTGCTAGGATTTGAAACTATTTCCCAAAGCCATTTAGTAAATGTTTCTGCAACTGCTGGTTTAAAACTACAAAAGTAGAACATCACAAACTGTATATGAGAACTTTTATCTGTTGGCAATATTATTTTTTCAAATGCATGTATCAAATCATTGTAAATGCTTCTTAATGAATCTACATGTACTTGTCCATCAATGTGACAACAGTCGTAGACATAGGCAAGTAATTGTTCCATACACATATCCAACATTTTTGCACCTGGATAATTCATTTCTGAATAATTAGAACATTTGGTATTTGATTCTCCCATTGATTCATCCATTTGGAATACTTCCTCATTTTCTTCATCAGAGTTTTCATTATAATCATTTTCATTATTTTCATCATCATACTTTTGAATCTCAGATAATTTTACACTGGTATCAAGAAGTACAAATCTTAAAAAAAAAAAAACAAATTAATTTAAATTCTTGAAAAGAATAATTCTCATGTAAGATGATGTACTACTTATTTACCTGTTAATGATTAAGAATAATATGTCTTTCCTCATAAATGGTGCATAATCTATGATTTGAAATAATGCAAATACATATTGTTGTGTTACAACTAAACCCTCAGATACATATGGATAAAAATTTCGGAGACTTTCAATAAGTTGGTTATTTGACCTTAAGAAGAAATCGTTCAATTAAGATATGAAATTATATTTTAAAATAAAATAAATCTATTTGCTTTTAAAATAAAAAAAACTTACATTGGTATAATTTTCAAGATGTATTTAATCAAATTATGAACATGTTCCATTCTATTTTTATAACTTTCTGGACATTTTCCATCTGTCCATAGTGGAGTTTCATCATCAACTAATTTTGAAAAGAATGAATTTATGAATTTCAATCATTGAATCAATTATAAAAAAATTAAGAATGTAAAATAATAAAAAATTTACCAATTTTGAATTGTTTGACGAGTTTTTCAATGACAAGAGGCAAATGCAGAATGTGAACACAAACCAAATCTTTGAAAAATCTTTCAAAATTTTCTATAATTTCTGCAGATCTGGATGTCCAGTTTAGATTTAGAAGTACTTCTACCAAAAGTTTGTGTTTAGGCCCCATTAAAAGTACACACTCTTTAAGACTTTTTAAAAGATTTACTAGTTCTAAATCCTTAAAATAAAAAAAAAGTAGAAAAATAAAATGTTAATTTTATGTGGTAAAAGTAAAATACATAAATGTTTAGATACAAGTAGATATTTTACCTTAACATTGGAATCACGAAGAATACAAATCATGTCCCCATAAGTTTGATGATCACTTCCATTTTCATAATTTGTGATAACTGATGTGATGTCATCTGGCAATTTGAAACATATCTTCTTTTGAGATGCTAATAGGGTTGATGCTCTTACTCCAGAGCCTTTAAGTATAGATGATACACTACTGATGCGAGATGATACAACTGACATCTATAAAAATGATAACAGAATTTTTTTTTAATTCATGCAATTTTCAAATATATTAAGACATTCAGCAGAATATTAAAAATTTTATTTATCACTGTCAAACCCAAACTTAATGTTGAACTTTATCCTTACAACCTATTGATACAACTGCATTGATGTGCAGCATAGTTAGTTAGATCTGGACAATATGGTGCAATGAAAAGTACAATCCATAGAAAAAATTTGAGCTAAACAGTGGAAATAACAACAGTTTCACAGAGCACAGATCAAAATACAAAAAATGATTCGTTTGTGAATTTAGCATTTTCACAAGTATAGGTTTGTCTGCAAGAAAACCATTTTGAGATGCCATAAGTATATATAAAACACTTATGACAATATGCACGGCTCGACAACTATAGGTTAAAATTTGTTCACGTGTAAATACTTACGATTGAAATAACTACACTAAATGCAAAATATCAATGACGAACAAAATTCTACACTTCAGTACACTATCTTTGTTTAAATTAATGACATCTACCAATAACCGACCCTTTTTTTCTACAAAATTTTCGTGGATAGAGTATGTATAAATGCCGCAGCATGACCGCGTGTCTGCATAAGACTGTTCATTCTATATTCGATGTCTAACCAGCGCGGCGCACAGCTAAGCCGCGCGATAGAGTGGAGGGGTACTGGTCGCCGACTCGCCGCATCGCATTGCAATACTTCATGAGAACCTTAGAAGTTAGAACACGCTTCATACATAATATAGTAGCATATGCCGGTCGGTACTCGTAAGAAGTTTCCTTGATGTTTTCATACAATTATAGTAAAAGAATTATTTGACAGTTCAAAATACACCTATCTAAGCGTAATCAGTTCGCTTCACGGGTTAATCTCGCTAATAGGCTTGGTAGAGTTTCAGTATTTTGATCATCAAAATGTCAACAAAAATGTTTGAATCTGTAATAGGAAATTAAGCCTTTAAAAAACTAGAATTATTATTTTTAAATGTACAGAAAATTGTCGCCTGACACACAATAACATCTGAAGTAGACCAATATTGTTGCCACTCATTGTGTGCCATTAAAACAGTTTTGGGATATAATGATAAAACAACAGAGAACATTATATACATTTCGAAATATTATATTTAAATATTGGTGCATTTACATAAAATCAAAACTTTTTTTTTATGAATTTTTTAGAACTAGTAAACAGTATATTACACCTATTATTTACAAAGTCTACTAAAAACGATTTACGCTGACTTCTTTTTACGTTTATCAGCAACGGCCTTTTCTCGTTTTTGAGATTGCTTCTCTTCGTCATTTATGCGGCGTTTCTTCCTCAAGAGCCAGATAGCTTTAGCCTTATCTTCGCGACTTTTCATCATAGCTTTGTATACTTTACGGTGTTTGTTAGGTACCAGCTTTTCCCTCAAACGGTACTCTTGACGTTCCAGACGCTTTTTCTCATAAGGGTCCTCTTTTATGACTTCTCCACTTTTGACTTTCATCTCTTTTTTCTGAAAATAAAATACAGATTTAGATGCATTGCATAACAATATTTTTTACTTTTTTTGTTTCAAATCGAATTTTCATGTCCTCTACTCATTTTAGGGAACATAAAAATACAAGTTCACTACTCTACATACCTTTTTCAATCTTTCTTTCTCTTTGGGATCTGCTACATCTTCATCTTCTTGTTCTTCTTCTATTTCTTGTTTCTCTACAGTTTTTTCTACTTCTTCCATTGTATCATTATCATCATCATCATCATCGTCATCTTCATCATCATCATCATCATCATCTTCATCTTCATCGTCATCATCATTTCCGTTGTCTGTTTCTTTTTCATCTTTTTTTTCCTCAGTCAACAAATCTATATAATTTTCAAAAATAGTCAAAAAAAATATGCATAAGTAATACCTTCAATATATTATCAATTATAATATGAACTTATTAGAAATATACATACCCATTAACTTTTCTTCCGGAGGCATATATTGTTCACCTTGACGCTCTTCTTTGAATGGAGAAAGATGAGGAGGTAATACAGCACCCAGCAGATATTTGTGAGTGGGTAATAATTCTCTGGCATTTATAGAGTCAAACACCCATTGAGGTTGAACATAATACCTTGAAATATATTTTTTGTCTACACTGGGTCTGTCTACAATTTGATGAGTAATGGATTCATCATCTTCTCCAAAAGTTGCTCCAACAAATGATAGTTTGTCCCAAGAAACTTCGGCCCCAAAGCAACGCAAAACAAAAACAAGAGGTTCTCTGGGTACCTCTCTGTTTAAGAATACTTTTAATCCTTTGAAAAGGTTTTTCAATTTTGACACCTCTTCAATTTTTTCTCTCATGCTCTCATCAGATCCAAATGAATCTAATTCAAGCTCTTCTTCTTCTACTTCATTTTGTAGAGATTTTATAAGGGGAACATTAAGAGCACTGACACGTTCAGAAACAAACGCTTGTTCATCCACCAGGGATTTTTCAGTAATACCTAGATAAATAAAAGCAAATAAGTGGTGCTGCAGACATTTTCTATTTCATGTAATAATTTCAAGTTACTCACTTGCGTTGTTGAATTTTGGTGGATACACCAAGTTTAAAGAGTGAAAAAGTCGGAAATTTACAAATCCTAACATTATAATATAGAATTCCACAAAAGTTGACATCAATTTAAAATCAACTTCATTTTTTTTCTGAGGTTCAAATCCAAAGTGATGTGGTACAATCCAAGTAATTGTTTGCCCCTTAATTTCTGCTTGGAAATAGTAACCTTTGATTGATACAAAAACCTTTCGCAATGCTTTAGATGCTATGACAGCATGCATGAATTCTACAGTTAATCGGCGACACAAAACACTCTGATCCCTAGGAATATGCTCCATTGATGGAAAAGTACTAAATAAGAAGCATAGGGACAAACAATCATCCAAATCTTTCAAAGCATCTATGAAAGTTGGATAACGTTCTTTTACTATATGATCAAGTTTGATTGTTGGATGATTTTTCAACATTCTCTTCATAGTCTTGAAATCTCTCATGGATTTTGCCTTTGTCACTTTTCTTGCAAAGACCTAAAATTTATCCATCATGAGTTAAATAAGTAATTAAAAATTTATCGTTAAACACAAGATTGAAATAAATGGTTTACCTTGTAGTCCCGCAACTTCCATATTATGGGTTCATGCAATAAAAATTGTATATCTTTTTTGGCATACAAAAGTTTAATACGAGTGTCTCCTTTTTGAGCTCTCTTTCTGTTGCGAGGTTCCCTAGGGTAAATTCCTTTTAAAATGCATAGTCTCTTAAATTCATTGAGAGAAAGCTGTAGCTTTTTCAAAGCTTGCTTCCTAGTCATAAACTGTGTTGCCTCCCCTGCTTCATACTAAAAAAATATTTATTTATAAAAACTTTGTAAATAGTAAGTGGAAATAAATATTGAACCTAAATATTGTAGTAAAAATATCAGTACTAATTAATGTCAAATTATCAATTGAACCCAAATTGAAAGTACCTTTTTTTTGCCAATGACAACCATCTTGAACGATGCGTTGATTAAAGCGTAGAATTAAACACAAAATCAAAGTCAACTGCTTAGTTATGGTCGAGAACAATTGTTAATTATACACCCTCGATAAGTGATCGCGAACACGTGCTCGGAAAACGGCTGCAATAGTCAGTACAGCGGCACTCGGCAGCGCTCGCTAGTATGTTGCGTTTGCGTCGTGACTTGAGTGTCCAACAGGCTGCACTCTACAGGGCAGCATTGCATGAGGCAATGATCTAACCAACAACTATTAATGACTAGTCGCTACTCGCTAGCGCCATGAACGGAGCCGAAAAAGAGAGCTGCCTTTTGGTAAAGGCATTTGAAGTTTACAAACCTAATTTTAAAAAAAGCAAATACCTATGATTCCGACATATAAATGTCAAATTTTTGCTACGATCAGGTTGTTGTTGGAGTTTTAATAAAAAAAATTTATATTATTTATCAGGCGTCAAAGCTTTTTTAATTTTTATTTGAATTTTACATTCATATGCAACTGAAATAAATCATGACGTAAAACATTAAAAAACGATAACTACTGGCTCATTATTTTGCAATTGCTTTTTTCATAATTTAAAAACTTTTTCTGTAATTTTTTAGGTCACCTATAGAATGAACAATGAACTAAAAAGCAGACAAAAATTTCATGAAAGATAAAAGGTTTAACTTCAGGATTTCTTCTTTATACAGAAGCATAATAAAGTTTGTAACAGGTGTGTAGTAACAAATTATACTTAATATTCTTCAATAACAATGATTATTGCATTTCAGACAATATGGAGAACAGAAATATTGAAATAAAATTTCGAGTGGACGATATCGAGGATGTCGAAAAAACTATTCAACAAATCAGTGATGTTTCCGTTGTGATTATTCCTCAAGAAGATATATTTTTTAATATTATCAATGGTCAAGAGGAAGGAGCTAGATTGAAACTACGCCAATTTAAGGTATTCTATATAAATAAAAGATCGAATCAGTGAAGCAAGATAAAATGACTTAATTTTTAAACTAGGATGGCTCAGGAGAAATGATTTATTACATTCGTCCTGACATTCAGGGACCAAAGCTTTCAAAGTACACGAAAATTGATTTCGATTCTAAAACGTGCCCTTCAGTTCGTGAAGTTTTTTCTAAGTCAAACGGAATACTTGGAACTGTCTCGAAGGTGAGGCACCTTTATATGATCGGACAAACTCGAGTTCATGTTGACAAGGTTGATGGATTAGGAAATTTCGTCGAGTTTGAGGTAAAAATTTGTTCATCTGCATCATAAAAAAATACAAAGTGACTAAAAATAAATTTTACCCAATATCTACTTGTAGGTGGTACTGAAGCCTGATGAAACTATAGCCAAAGGAGAAAAAATCGCTACGGAGTTGATGAAAAAATTAGGAATCCAAGAAAATTCTCTTGTGTCTAGAGCTTACATGGATTTAATTTTACAAAAAAAATAAACTTTTTCTAAATTTCCAAATAAGACAATTCATTTTTTTTAAATATTTGATCCAATTATTAATTTCATTTTTTACGCGAAATTTTTTTCATTTCTTATTTCCCGCCAATTTCAAAGAATTCAGGTTAATATAACTTTCGTCTGCCATACAACTGTCGAATAAGTCAAACAACAGCTGTGTTTGATATTCATGACTTTTAAAAAAACATCATAACAAAGTTGTAGTATAAATAATTAATAGAAATAGTTAATTGGCATTAACCGTTTATTTCTCAGCGTTACAAAATGGAGCCTAAACCAAAAAGTGAACATCTCTTAGCGCTCAAAGGTATCATTTTAAAAACAAAACAAGACTAAATGAAAATAAAGTAAAGTAGTTTTATTTTATATGAAATGATATTTTCTCATTCAGTTATGAGATTAACAAGACCTACACTTGCAAGTCCTATTGTGGTTACCAATGACTCTACAGATCTTCCTGGTAATACATTTAATGATGAATTAAAAAATGATTGTACTGCACTGCAGGGAATGGAAACTGTATCAATAGGACAATTCATGGTATTGCCACAAAGCTTTGGGTAAAATCCTTTTTTTACATTAGCCTGATAACTCAACTGGATGTTGCAAAGTTCATTTTATTTTCAGAAATATATACTTAGGTGAAATATTTTCAAGCTACATATGTGTACATAATGGTAGCAATCAAACTGTCAAAGATGTTACTGTTAAAGTAAGTAGTTTTTATTAAAAATTGGTAACATGAAACCAATAAATCAATTTATTATTAATTATTCATGTTTAGGCTGACCTCCAAACAAGTACCCAAACAATTCCATTATCTGGTCATAATTCTCAAACCAAGGAATTAATACCAAATCGAACAATAGATGAAGTTATTCACCATGAAGTCAAAGAAACAGGCACTCATATGTAAGAAGTTAAATACTATTCATTTCCTGCCACCTGCAAATATTAAGAATAATTTTAATTTTTAGATTAGTCTGTGAAGTAACTTATACACCAGTTATATCTGGTGGTCAACCTTTATCGTTCAGAAAATTTTTTAAGTTTCAAGTAGTGAAGCCTTTAGATGTTAAGACTAAATTTTACAATGCAGAAAATGGGGAAGTATATTTGGAAGCTCAAATTCAAAATTTAACTGCAGGTCCAATTTGTCTAGAAAAAGTAGCTTTAGAATCGTCACATTTATTTAAAGGTTTCTCAATTTTCATGATCTATTAAATTTAAACGTGTACACTCAGATTTAAAAAATAATCACTTGATTAATTGTCTAAAAATAGTGTCAACTCTCAATGTCAATGAAGAAAATGAGTCAATTTATGGAAAAGTAAATTTATTAGATGCCACGCATAGTAGACAATATCTTTATTGTTTAAAACCTGAACCAAGCTTGGCCAAAGATCCAAAATTAATGCACAATGCAACTAATATTGGCAAATTAGACATAGTTTGGAGAAGTAATTTGGGTGAAAGAGGGAGACTTCAAACTAGTCAGCTACAAAGAATGGTAAAAAATTTATAATTGTATGAAATCAAATTTTAAGTCATTATCATATCTTCAGGCACCAGACTATGGAGATCTTAGGGTGACTGTTAAAAATTTGCCTAGCAAAGTATACCTAGAAGAACCTATTCATTTTACAGCTCATGTACTAAATACATCGTAAGATAAAAATTTTGCACACTATTTCATTTCAACAGATACTGCATTAAGTCCTTTTTATTTATTAATATACTTGCAGAGGACGGCAAATTGATCTGTTTTTAAGTTTGCAATCAAATACTGCTGTTGCTTGGAGTGGGATAGGTGATAAAAATTTAGGCTCACTGAAATCAGGAGAATTTCTGGACATTCCACTTTGTATTTTTCCATTAGAATCAGGGCTTGTTGTAAGTTAAATGAACTGTGATTTCACTAAATTTTATCTCATTTAAAATTTGATTATTTTCAGGCAATATCAGGTTTAAAGCTCACAGATACTTCTCTCAAAAGGGTGTATGACTACGATGATTTAGCACAAATTTTTGTTACCTACGTAAATTAAGTTTTAGTTTGAATTTATTGAAAATAAATTTAATTTTTTGTTAAGAATTGTTCTTTTTTTGAAATCATACTTAAACTATTTGATACATTAATCACTTGTTGAAAAGTGGGGACTACTTTTTTCTCTATCCTGCTCATTCAGAGCATTTATTAAAATAGTTGTAATTAAATGCAACAGTGAAATTATTTATTTAGACATATAATGATTAACAAAAAAGTATTAAATATCATAACTGTTTATTTTAACATAACTATTTGGTTTCTAGTCATAACACAATAAGCCTTATTAATTGAAGTTCATTACAGTCTTGAATGTCTAGAAAACTGCAGATGTTATAATTGTTTCTTCATGAAGTAAAATTATTGCCAAAGTAAACTGTAACATAAATAATACAAATTTAAAAAATGTTCAATTAAATCTTTTGAAAAATAAGTAATTGCTCCATGAATTAAGAGTTATATTGATATCAGATAATTATGTATAATCATGAATATAAATACAATAGAAGGCATACTTACTGGAAAATTGAAAGTTCTGGCATTCCGGGATCTGTACCCTTACGAAATCCTAAAAATAAGAAATTGTCATCAGTGATTCTTGATTAAAATAATTAACAATTATTGACACTATCAACTAACCTAAGTACAATACAGCGGGTATGAATCCCCAATGAAATGCAGTTCTGGATAAAGCTAACACAACAGAGATTTTTTGTTTTACTTTTGGTGAAAGAGTCATTTTGTCGTTTAGTTTTTGAGCAATTTCTGCAGTTAAAGAAGTTCGCAAGAACTTTAAAATTTTACTAGTTTTTTAGTCACTGTTTTCTCACATGTGCAGACGAAAGAAACAGTGTCTGAACTCTGAGACAGTGATATGATGTGAGGTTAAGAAAATTGTATAGGTAATTTCTGGTTATTTCCAAGCAACGTCGAGTCCCCCGTGTTCTTATTTCTCAATAGATGAAATCACTAGGCTAACTCAGTGTGTCAAAAACATATGTGCTGCAGTGTTGTGAGTGTCGTTTAGATACAAATTGGAGCAGAATACTGACATATCATATTGAATTGAACATACATCAGTGTATGAGTGTTTTACGAGTGAAATCGATAATTAATTATTGATGATTTTTCTGCTTGATCATGGCTGATTTGCAAATTATAATCATTTTTTTTATTGCTTCCTGCATAGTAAATAGTCAATTGGTACTACTTTTTTATTGATTAACAAGCTCATATGGCTTTGAACTCTCTTTCATTTCTAATTGTAAACATGTTTCTTGCTATTTTTCAGTCTTTAGCCCAAAAACCTTATTGTGAATGGGGAACTTGTGAAGCAGATGAATACTGCTGTGCACCAAGTAAATGTTGTCCAAAAGAACACATAATTAGCAAAGCTCATAAGATAATGTAATTCTTTAATAATTATACAATGTTTTTTAAACTTGCATAAAATATAAATATCTTTACATTTTTTAGAGGATGGTTACTTGCAGTAATGACATTAGTTTTGTTGTATCTTGTAATAAAATACAGAAGTCGCTTGTGCCAAGTCTGCATTCCTCAATCTAAGGACCAAGTACCTATAATTACAGCATGAGCACAGTTACAAGCATATTGAAAATATGTAAATATAAGTGATTTCCATTGAATTAAGTCTGATGTGACGCACAAATGAATCTTGAACTATTATTTAGATTCAAATGTTAATTCTAAAGCTGCGTTAAACGTAAAGTTTTAATTGTATTGTTAAGATGATAGTATGTTTAAAGAACTCATTTGAAATGTATTATCACAGTAGACAGTCATTTTATTTCTATTATACCAATGTTTTATGAATCTGATGTTAATTACATGAATAAAATTTGTGATTAGAGGAAAAAGAAGTTTTATAATCATTCCCTTCTTTCAGATAAGAAACTACGTTTGCGCAAGTGATAAACAAATTTTATTATCTGTTATAATGCACCCAACGCTATTGTAATATTGCACATGCTGGATAAAAATTGCGTCAACGTGTTTTTACCGACCGAGCGCAGCTGTGTGCTTTAATCACAAGCTGCAATAAAAGGTCGCCCTCGCGTGGCAGGATAGGTGCGCGCGTGCGAAAGTTTACATTCTTCCGCAGGCGGGCCGAGAGAGTGCGTGCGTTGTATATATATCCTGTCACTGACGTCATATCGAGCTCCGAAATTTGAAAATCAATAATTGTCGGTCGTGCAGTGGTCGTCGAGCAATTCGCGCGATGCACATGACAGCTACTAAGTCGAGCTCAGTAGCAGCAACTTATTGCAGTGCACATATCCCGAAGGAAATGGCTGTCTCGAGACAAAATTTCGATTTTGATCGCGAGCTGTCTGTGATTCTCATTAAAGTTACTTGAGCCATTTAAATAATAAAAAGCATCGGATGCCCGATCGTCGTGTTGCTTCAACATGTCGCGAAGCACAAAGTGGAAATTCGCGATCATTGCCGGAGTCAACGAGTGTTTAGTTTACGTATGTGCCATTTATGAATATTCGTTGTCATCAATTTTATTAACGTTAGATTATTCAGTGACTATCCGCATGTTTTGCATATGTTGTTCTCAATGGGCTCGTTCATTAAGTACAACTTTGCTCAATTCAACGACAAAGCTTTTAGTTTCAAGTGCAGTTTGGTTATAATATCAGCGTCGTGAGTCTATTATTGATGTGTGACCCTTTAACTGATAAATATAATTCTCTATAAATAATATGTAGGCGCGACCTTATTGATTTATTACGTTCGTTCGTTAACTTAAGTTACGCACATGCATTTGATAATTATTACTTAATTAGGAGCAGTTCATTATTTTCATAGTATAATTATTATAAAATATTAATATGCATTCATTCAATTTTAGGCTGAAGCAAAATATTGTGCCTTTGAAATACACGGAGAACCAAAGTACTATGTGTAAGTTATTGATACTTCTTTTAAATTGTTTTTTGTATTGATTATACATAATCATTTGGTTTAATATATTGTATTAACACAGATGTCCAAGAACAGAATATTGTTGCAACTTTGGCTGCTGTGTATCACCAGGGTTTCAAATATATCATCTGTGGTATTATTGGTATGTTTAATTTGTCACAAATATAGATATCAAAATTCAATAGTACTAATCATTCAATGATGGTTAAATCTTCATGTTACAGGTTACTAGTCATTATTATGTTTTTGGTGTGCTCTGGTGGTGGCTGGTGGTATAGATATTGGCTGCAAGGCAGATATAGAGCTGCAGCTTCTGCCATTCCCACTAGATCTTACAGTACAAGAACTCAAAGTTCTCTTCGAGGTCCAACATGTCAAGCACAGCAAGCTAGAATATCGTATAACACAGCAAGAAATACCGTCCTGTTGCATAGAATGTGGAAAGGTTTGTTCAGTAAAGATACAAATGAAATAACTTGAAATACTTTTTTAAAATTTATTTTTCCTGTAATTATCTTTAAGCTTAAATACTTTTTTCATTTCTTTTTTGCAATTAATTACATATTTAAGACATGTATTAAATATTATTTTGTTTTTTCTACAGCAGGTCCTCACAGAAGTGTAACATCTCCAGCATATGGGTCGGCTGCAGCTGCAACTTCAGCAGCTCATCACTACCAAAACACGAGCGTTGTTCTGAACGACGCAAACTGCCCTTACTATCAGCTCTATGGACCGCCACCGAGCTACGAAACCGTGATAGCCCAAACACGCGGCAAAGTATCCACACCATCGTCGCCAGAACTGCTCCGCGGTCCCAGTCCACGGAACACTGCTTCTGCGACTGCCTTCGTCGGACCGCCTTGCTTTTACGGGTTGCCGCCACCCTCGGCGGCTCCCCACTATCAGCCGCTTACCTGTAATCAGACGCCGCCCCCGGCTTTCGAGAGCGCCGAGTACGGATACGAGCCAAGACCACTCAGCTTTGGCCAGCGAGTGCATTACGTCCAATGCACGGCCAATGCCGCCGCCGGCAAGTCTTCGACCGAAAATTCCGATGCTGACAATAGCATTGCTCATTACGGTCAAGACAGTCCCGAAGAGGGCGGTTTCAGCGCGTCATCCTCCTCGATGTTACCCAGAAATGATTGCGCCAGCGGCTCATGCGCCGTTTTAGGCACTACTTTACCCTGCTCTTATGCTCCAAAATGGAACACAAGGATAGGGTGAGTATACGTTTTGTTTTATATAACACGAGACGACTCAATTTTGATGAAATTAATAACAAATACATGTCAATATTCTCCTCAGAGTACATGGTCAACACCAACTACGCGATCGCACGAAAATCGATTCAACGATCTCGCCACAATCGTTGGAACTGATGCCCGATCAGCCGATAGCGACGACATCGTCAGATTATGGGGCATCGACGTCTTCAGCAATGTCACATCCACCTACGCGTCGAAAAATTCAGGGTGGCTCGCTAAAGATGCCTCGTCGTCGCGAGCAGCAGGCAAAACACTACGAGTCAGTGCGCGTGCTCGCGGCGGCGAATCGTCGATTGAGCTCGGCCAGCAGTAGCACCGGTACCGGTTGCACCGTTCCGCTTGGCCGTGAAGTCGATCAGACCTATCATCAATCTAGTCCCTCCAGCAATGTGATAACAGCTGAGACCTTCGACAACGAGCGAGTGACTCAACAACAACAGCAACAGCAGCAGCACCAACAGCAACAACTGACAGGCCATGCTCAGCAACCGGCGTCTAGTACAAATTTGAATTGTGAAAGTAAGCGCAAACTCGACCGGTCGAGATCGCTCGAATGAACACGCGCGAAGCTCGATCATCGTTGCATTGATTAATCTTGAATTACTGCGAAGCGTTAATAGGTCGAGGATCGAAGTAATTAACGCGATTGGTGGCTGTGTTTCTTATAGATCAGTAAGACTCCGCTATCGATCTGTTTCTGAAGTGATGTTTTTTTTGTTTGTTTTTATCAAACACAAACTGTTTTTGTTATCTAGTCATTTTACTACGTTTTTTTATAATTTTTTTAAGACAAAAGATATGATCTTGCTCATACAAAGTCATGAGTATCTTATATAAAGTTAATTGTGTGAAATATCCATTGTAACATTTTGAGAATTTATTTATTCTTTTACTAATAACTTCTATTAGAAAAAGAAGTGATGGTAAGTAATATCTCATACTATTTAAAAATAATTTTCCAAACTCATTACTTGCTATATCTTGTACTTTTAAGTGAAAGTACGCCCGAATACTCATTCGAATTTTGTTTCCACAAATTGCAGAATAACTTTACTTGATCAAATCAACGCATCAAGACTGTAAAGTAAATATTTATTGCCATTTAAGAATATTATTAATTTTTAGAAATCGATTTTAACAAGAATTTCTTCAAAAATATACTAATACAGTGTTTATATTTCGCGGTTTATTATTTAAATTAAAACAGAATATTTTTCTAAAAACGGTTGAAAAATAATATCCAAGATTTTGAAACATGTAAAAAAAAATAGATTACAAAATACCGAATAAGTTGTAAAGGGGGTTTGAATGATATTTGAACGCGACGATGTAACATTTTTTATTGTGATATACCAAGTCTATACAATATTATTTTGTAACAGTTTCCTGCATATTGTACGTCTGTTTTAACTACGACAAACTTAACGAGTTTATGTTTTTATTGTTGTAATATTGAAAAATTAATTAGAAACATTACATCTTATTAAAAGTAATGATTGTAATGACATTCAATGTTCAAAAGTATAATTTGATTTAGTAGCTGCACTTTGCACAACTGAAAAAAAATCACACGTATTTTTGAACCGATTTCCCAACTAATTCAGTTATACAGAGTGTTCCTATATTTTTCAGTAAGGATTTAAGCTATATTTTTATACTTTTGACCGGAAAAAGTAGATGAATAATTTCGAAGATTATTGAATGACTCTACACATTAACGTTCTCATAAGTAATCTTCGGCGAGTGCACGATTCAAATAGAAAATTATATGAATTGTGATATGAAAATGAAAGAAAAGTCAAGTGGCTAGGAATTTATTTTTTGATTTTCGAACTTGAAAACGACTAGGCGATGATGTTCCAAATGTGTCAGTAACAATTGGTATGCTCTAGATTTTAGATGCTTTCATTTTCTATACAAAATTGAATCGACATTTCACTAAAACAAACCTAGTCGCCAGTGAGCGAGTCCGAGTAAATTTCTTTGTCAATATTGAGTGGACTTACGCACAATTTCTCACTCACGCACACATGTACGAATATACTTACTACACACGCGTATGAAATATAAATCGTTCATTTGATTCCTCATGGTATATATACGAATATGCTAATGGTAGGTGATATATAAATATAAATAATATATATATTTAAACATTAAGAAATCTCTATTTTTAATGTGCATAAGTATAATAAATGTAAAACTACTAGTCATGATATCGCCAAGCGAGTGTGAGTCGACACTGCATTATTTTCTCTATCGCAAAGCTAGTTTGCTCCTTCGATGCGTAAAATTTTTCTAAAAGGTAAGAAGTTTGAAGTGTACAAAAAATGTCGAATCTCTCGACAAAAAAGCTTGACATTTATCGTCAAATTTTAACTCATTAATTTTTTATTGACATCTGTGGGCTTTATTCAAAAGATTTTTTTATCTTCGAATAGTTCCTTTTTCAGATATTTTTTACTGGTATATTTTATTCTTTCAAAAGTGAACTCTGTAAATATACGTTCAAAACTTGACTCGGTATTTTTTGTACGACTTCTAAGGATACATTGAAGTAAAAAAAAATAATGCTTTACTGAAAGCAAAGTAGTATTGAAAAGTTTAGTAGTGACTATCGATTGGGTAAAAATAATTTGATTGAGAGCTGATGAATGTAAAGATGAAATCTTCAGAAACTAATAAGATTGTAAAAAGATGAAAGAGTGTGTTAAATTAATAAGTGCGTAGACATTAAGTATCCAATATAAAAAGCTCTAAACCAAAAATTAAATCTTAAAAAAGTATTGGCACACATCAATGTTCAGTTTAACGATTGCTATTAACTATTGACTTTTTAAGTTGATTAAATTTCGTTGCAATTATCAGATAGAACTATCAATAATCATGAATAACGACAATTTTGTACTTACCTATAAATTAAAAAAAAATTATATATTTTACAATCGACCGTTTTCATTCAAAATGAATAACAAGCTTTTCAATGAAGCGTGAATAAAATGACATTTTTTACAAGAAATAAAAATTTTCGTACAAAGTACGTAATTTCACGAATTAAATTATTGCTCTGTGTAGCATACCAGTCGTGTACATGCACAAAAACATGAATTTCATATGCTGCTCCTTGACTGCGTAAACTAGATTGAAAAAAAGCAGTCTCTAAATCACGAAGTAAAAGTAACCATTTGTGTTCTGTGTGAAGATCATCTTGTTGAGCTCTTAGAAGCTTTCACAATCATATCGAAAATAACGAAACACGATCATATCAATGATTTTTTAGAATTTTGGAATACAAAAAGTATAAACGATGAAAATGTTCGACTTTGACTAGTAGGATTGGAAAACCATTGAAAATGTCTAATCTTCCTTATTTTATTTCAATTTTTTTGAGAAATTTTTAACGTTTCCTGTTGCGTGCACAAAATAGTGGTCCAAAGTATATGTGCCAATAGCTAAAAACGAAGTAGAGAAAAGAAGAGTACGTTTAATATTAACAACGTTCTAATCTACTCACGATGGTTGAATCTATTTTTATGAGTTTAGGAAATTCACTTTTGTTTGTGGTTTTTGTTTACCTGTTCCAAGTTCAACTGGGGGGTATATTTTTATCGAAAAGCGAAAATAAATTTTATGTTTCATAAATTTTGAAAAATTTAGGTAATCTCATTGAATCTCGAGCGAATCATTAAAGTACACTGCAAAAAACCTTGCACCATGAAATTTTAATGGTAATAGTAATTCGATAAGTACCTAATTTCAGTAGAAAGACTATATTATTGATATAGCGAACAAGTAATAATTCTAACGAATCAATCGAACAATATGTTGTTCTTTTTTAACGCGTGAAAAAATAAAATACATTTGAGCGCAAAATTTCTTCTCGAATTTTCATCCAAAAGACTTAATTATAACTATTTATCTCATCGATAAATGCAATTTGATACCGCTGTTCTGTCTAACGTATCAAAAAAAAAAAAGAAAAAAAAACATTTACTAATTATAAGGGATCTGAATTGAATCGTTCGCTTGTGAAAATTGTTCTCTATTAATACAGTCCGTTGCGCGCAATCATTCGAATGAATAATAAGCATGAGAGAAGAAGGAAGAGAACAATGTAAAATATTGTAACTATTATAAATATTGTCTCACAATATAAAATAAAGACATGAAATATTTATTCACAATATCGATTTTAAAGACAAATTTTTTCTCTCTCCTTGAAAGTTAAGTCGGCACATGTGGAACAGCTCTTATATCGCTCATTAAAGCTTTTATAAGGTCACAGCAATTAGGAAGTAAGCTCCCAGCTGAGCGTCCACCAAATCGTAAAGGTAATGAAAAAAGAAGAAAAAAAAGGGAAAAGTCGGCAAGACCTTGGAGTAGCCGCGCAGCATTAACGAAGATAATATTCTTTATGAAGAGTTATAGTTTACGCAGAGTTATACATCGTGTGTATCCAATATCCGGCTTACATTAGGAGACGACACCAGGGTAGCGAGCAAAAAAAAAAGACATTATATGGAACCCCCATCGGCAGAGCAATCAAATATATTACCTTGAAATATCCCTATCGTGTACACGCGTATCACCTTCCATGGTGACAAAAGTATATATAGATAAGGCAGCTGCTGCTGTGTGATTGTGTGCGTGTGTATGCGTGTAGCATCGGGAATAAGTGTGCGCGTGTGAAAGTCAGGTAGAATAGAGTAGGGGACAAGTACGAGACGGCGAATCAATAAAGAGAGGGGAACACACACACACACCCACATACACAGGCGAGTTGACTCGAGGGGGTCCAAATGGCATATCATCCCCGGCGCTGCTGGCGGTGGTGCTGCTGGTGGTCGTGCGCGCTTTTCTCCGTGTGTGCGTGTGTATCTGGCCTAGACGGAGACAGAGACAGAGAGAGAACGTGTACTGCGTGCTATCCTCGGCTATATAGGATAGTCGCCGCCGCGTTTTCCTCTCGCGCGAGCCAACTCTGCGTCGTGCAAGTCGTCGTCGTCGTCGCTCTCTCACTTTCTTGGCCTATAACCTTCGCTTTTACATACGCACGCACTCGAGGCTGCAAAAGGGGGCCTCTTATCGTTCGTAATTATTGTTGTTATAAAAACGCACGTTGCGACAGTCGCGAGCCCGCACGCTATGACGTTGTTACGCGCCTGCAGCTGTGGTGCGCGACTTTGATTCCGGCAGCTTTCTTTTCCGTTGTTGTTCTTTTCTTTCCTTCGTATATATGTTTATCCCGTACGAGTGCGATTGTAATCGATGTGCGAAATTCGGCCTGGCTCGCGCACACATACACGAGCCTTTTAAATCGTGCGTGAGATAAAGTCCAAGAGAGAGAGAGGGTGAGAGAAAGAGAAACAAACAATACTATACGTGTTTCTCACAGTTGTCGCTTTACGGGTAGTTCTCTTTTTTTTTCTTTTATCACGCGCGCGCGAGGGTTTGGGTTGTTTTTGCCTTCCCGATAAAACCTCGATAACAAGATACTCGAGCGTGGCAAAGATGTCTGTGAAGGTGAGCTCGATGTCAGTGTGTTAATATGCAAAAAAATAAAATAGCATAAAATAAAATAAAGCAAATTAGCCAAGCACCGTGACTCCACATTATTGATTCGGCTGAAATACATATATTGTTGTTGTCGAAATTGCAAAAGCTGTGTTTAAGTTGCTCAAGTGAGAGGGAGATATTGTCAAAGTAAGGAAAGAATAGGTTTGATTACAAATTTTTTTTCTTGTTTGAGATAGCCGATTGTAGTTTGTGAATTGGAATAATAATTTGGATATTAGAAAACAATAGTCTGGTGGTTATGAATAGTCTACCTAAATTTTTATTTTTTCAGAGCAAACATAGACTTTACTTTGATAATATATTGATCGTAAAGTCAAATAAATACTCGTTTGTAAATATAATTAAAATGTCTCGTCTTTGATACAACATTATAATTTGCTTATGTTTGCATACATAATTAAGACTTCTGTTGAATAACTCGTCGCTATTTCGTAATTTTTTTTTCATTTCCCCGATGATAACATGTATGTTTGTACTCTTCTAAGATAGTATTTAGTAATTTTTGGTTTCAATTGATGAATGTTGATTTGTATTTTTATGTGTAGAGCTTGTTTGAATTTTTTATGAAATCGCAACTTGCGCGAGAAAAACAAAAAATTTAGAAGCCAATATAGAAATTTGAATTGGTTGCTGAAATGCTTCATTAAAGATACATTTTTTAAATGCAAGTGCATATCCTGTTTTTCTCATCATTTTCCCCCCGCAATTAAAGCCGCCCTCAAACTCTTGATCGTGAACCCTTAATACATTTTAATGTCATTATCGGTTCAACCCTTCTTCGTACTTACTTACTCACGTAAGACTGAGAGGATCATTAATTTTAGCTGGTCACAAGTGATTTGCGATTCAATTAAAAATTCCGGCTAAATTGATAGAAAAATTTATTCATCACGAAGATATACTGAATGGAGAAGAAAACCCGGCAATCGTGCAACATTATTAATAACGCCCGAAATTCGAACTGGAAAATACATAGCTTGGGCAAATCTAATTAAAACTACGCAATTTTGAAATAATGAATTTTACGAAGGCACGAGCAATTCTGACAAACGAGCAAACTCGCACAGTGCCGATGTAAAATTAATTAATTTTCAAAATTGTATTGCGTCCTAGCAGAGCTCGCATCAAAGAATATCAAAAAACACACACGCAGTAAAATAGAACATTTTCTATTTTTCTATTCGCGTTATCAATCTAGTCCCAACACGAGAATATCGTGTGCATTAAAAATGTGTACTTTTAAATTTCTGTATCGATGATAATGAGTGAGATAATAATTTTAATTGAATCATCGTCAAAATCTCGATGAGCGTGGCGGATTTAGCGAGAGGGAGAGAAAACATGTCTCGTGCAAACACTAGGTACGTCCGAGAGAGAGAGAGAGAGATAGCGCGTGTCACCGACTAATTCAAAAGCTGTGCGGCTTACACACGCGCGTATACATAAAGGATGTGTACCTTTGCTTATGTTAAAAGGCACACGAGCTTTATAGTTGGCAGCTTGGAGAATTACGCGTGCACACACGTGCTTAATCGGGCCTAGAGTGGATTAGAGTTCGCAGCTTGTAACGGTACGTCGTCCTCATTGGCCGCGAAACGATATTATAATGGAAATCCTTATTTGAAGAGAGAGAGAGAGAGAGTCCGATGCAAATCGAGTTCGCTTTGAATATATATACTCTCAACGTTACATCGAATTAAACATTGTAGAAATCATTTAATATCTTTGCGTCAACACCCGAGCCCTGTATTTTCCCCTACATTAACGCGTCCAAGAGTTTTTTTGCAATTCAAGTATTTTCAAAGTGAAATTCATCGATCGAATAAACACTCGAGCGACACAAACTTATCGCGAATGGAATTAAACCAGCGGGGGAAGAGAAGAGGAGTAGGAGGGTTTAAATACATCGGAGGCGAAGCAATGCAAAACTTTCGAACGTACAACATCGGCACAAGCTCGGCAATTTCTCCGGGCATCGCAGTCGAAGCAGAATTACATACAATTTGCCGTCGCGAGCGAATGTACGTAATGCAGTTATTTCGTGTGTATAGTCGTAGTTTGAGATTGCCACGCGCGCTATATAGCTCGCCACGAGTGACATTATACATTGAGAGCTATGGTACGTATATATACGCGCGGCAGCTTGTAACGGTAGCTTGCAGCAAACTTGATGCAGGCGCGCTCGCGCTGCAGGCAATTTTCGTGCAGTCCACACGCGGAGCTTGCGAATTTATAAATGTCAAATTAATATCGTATATGACGCGCACGAGGTGCAATGGATGAATCGATACACGAGCTTTCGAGAGAACGAGAAACGTAATCCAAGTAGCTCGAGAGCTTGCGATCGTATATTAATACACGGTAAAGCTCGGCGTCACGTCGCGAGGGAGAAAAATCCATTCGAGCTCGCATCGGCTCAGTGATACGTTTATAAGGCGATATCTCGCGCTTGCACTCCGCACGCAGACAGGGCCACGGAGCGTGCGTGTATATTATTAAGCCTTAATATCGTATATATAAACCGCTCCTAGGCAAGCTTCGTATAAATAAAAAGATTTCCGGCTGCAGACAGCCTTGCGCGAAGCAAAGAGATTTAGCATACACAGATCTTCTCGTTTTATATCTATACATTTGGCGTTCATGCGCTCCTCTTTTTATCTCATTCTCTGTCTATAGCGGGCAGCGGCAGCGGCGGCGTCGGCAGTGACTTCGAGCGACGGTAGCAGCGGCGGCGCACTCGTATAGTTAGCCGTGTATGTATATGCGTGTGCGATATGTGTATTATTACATGCACGAGAAAGAGCGCGTAATATCAACAGTTTCAGGTCGGACGCGGCTCTTGTAACACAGCTTGCAAACGCGCTGAACTTTGCATAGATATAATACGCACTCGAACTAGTTCAAGCTCAGCTGCCGCTGCGGCGCGCGCGGCCTTAGCCGCCGACTCAGACGACAACAACTGTGCCGAGATACCGCGACTACTTGTTTGCTTTCGCCGTTCCGACTGTTTTCCTCGTCAAACTGCAGTCTCATAAATTAGCCGACACTTTTGCGTATGTATGCGAGCTTCAATTTTTACGCTACTGCAGTGCATCTAGCGATTTATGTATAATATTTAATAATGATGCACGAGAGCTGGTACGCAGTGACGTCTATTTTTTGTGATACACGATGTTCGCTCTCCATTAGATGTGGACTAGACTCTACGCCGATGATATTGATGGACTTTGAATAATTTAGTTAGGCGCTTCCATGTCGTGGAGTGAAATAGCAAAGACCCGTTCAATTGCCATTTAACAACAATTCAACGCTCGTAATGCAGCCGCATGTACTTCAATCTGTCGTGTGTATACGAATAATTCATGGGAGAAAAACGATTGTTATGAACTGTACAAATTGAGAATTGACGTAATTATTATCGATGAAGATGCTTGTGCGTTGATATGATCGTAAAATTCGTAATTCCATTCGTAGCGATAAACTCTTTGACGTTGTAGGCTGTCGATAAGTTCGCAAAGGGAGTTTTCATGAAATAGTTCAACAGTAATTAATAAAGTTGTATATAATAAAAAGCACAAATTTGAATTCTTCTATGATTCAATTAAACATGAAAATTTTCTATAAACTTGGATATTTTCGTCCGCGAGTACAATAAATGCATCTACGTATGAGAAATACATAATTTTCATTTGAACGTGACGAATGCGTATTGTATGGGTTCAGTAAAATGCAAAAAAAAAAGAAATTATTCATTCTCGAGATAAGCCTATTTATCTTTTCACTACAACAGTTTGGAAATTCAAAAAGCTCGCCAAGAAAGAGAGAGGTAGAGAGACTTGCGTTGAAGGAGGTCGAGATCGCGATATTTTTAGACGCACTGAACTAAAATACGTGTGTATCCGCGCCGCGCACTTTATTAAATAATTCGTCAAGTCTTTAAAGAAATGATTATCGTCGAGAGAATTAATGATATGCACGCGTTTGAGTGCTTACATTGACGCGTGTATCGGATCAAGGAATCTACGTCAAACTCAAGCGGAGGCTGATTCGTATCTCATGTTAGTCTGTCATCTACATCTCGTTCGCTCTCGTAAATAACTCGCGACGTAATAACAAATCGAAGCATGTATACAATGAGAACGTGCGATGCGCCGCACGTGTTGGCTTTCACGCTAAGATTAATACTTTGATTTGTATTCAAAGGCTCGGTATGTTTGTTTAATGTTTACTATGACCCCTAATAATGAACAAGATTATAGAACTCACAATTATTTCACATTTATTGATACATTTTGATTTTCTTTAATTAAATAATTGTGATTCATTGAATTGTTTGTATTATTCATAATTATTTTGAATTACTTTTGCCGACTGTAAATAAATAATTTAACTATTACTTAATAATGTGAATTCAACGTCAGGTAGTTCACTGTATAGAAGACGAATAAGTAACGCACCCACGAATTTATATTTTTTAATCATGCAATAGAGTTGTATGTCACAATCTCATTCTACCATATTTAATAAAAAAAAATTGTTTTCATTCATAAACTTTTCATAAAATTGATAGAAAGTATAAAGTGAAGATGAAGAAGTGCTTTTTAATTTTTTCTTGTTATTCATTCGACAAAGTGAATGTATCAGTTACGAATTCAATTATTATTGTTGACTTTTCAGATGATGAGATATAAGCAGCAGGAGGACTTCGAAGATGACTACAATAGCAGCATCGGATCCGTAATATTGAATAGCGATGGGATAAGTGCCACAGCGACCCACGTGCGCTTCCACTCGGTACGTACAAAAATAATTTTGTCATAATTCAATTAATGTCAAGTAAAACTGTGCATCCTCATTGATCGGATTCACAATTTCAGGGTACTTCTCTGTGGAGAAGTAGAACGACCCTGGAGAAATGTTTCTTCATAGTATGCGTCTCGCTGATACTGATAATAATTGTGCTTGCGATATCCATCGGTAGCGAGAGACATATTTGTGACCACGGCCGAGGAGGGATTCTTCACGTGACATCGGTCAACAAAGGTAAAGTATTGAAAAAGACTGTGGCTTTTGTCACGATACAATACTCGATTGAAAAAATTCATTTCGTACTCCTGGCTATAGAAAAATCGCATTGCTTGACGGAACACTGCGTGGCCGTGGCAGCGTCCATAATCAATAGCATGGACATGACGATACATCCCTGCGACGACTTTTATCAATATGCCTGCGGCGGCTGGATCAGCAAGAATCCCATACCCGACGGCAAAAGCATATGGGGCACGTTCGGCAAGCTCGAGCAGGATAATCAACTGGTCGTGAAAAATGTCCTCGGTCCGTGGAGATGATGATGTTATTCCCTTTCAACTAAGAAGTTGAATTTATTTAAATTTCGTTTATCATTTTTCTTTTTAGAGCGACCCCTCGCCGAGATGAAATCTCAAACTGAGAAAAAAGCCAAGCAGTATTATTTATCGTGTTTAGATGCCAATGAGACTATCGAAAATTTGGGTGCTAAGCCAATGCTGGATCTCTTAGAGAACGTTGGTGGCTGGAGTATAAGTGGAAAATTTGACGTTAAAAGGTGGTCATTCCAAGAGAACATGCACGTGCTTCAAAATGTTTACAATATGGGGGGTCTGTTTTCCTGGGCCGTGAGCGAAGACGATAGAAATAGCAGTAGATATATTATTGAAGTAAGGGCCACATATTTTCTAACATAACTTGTGAGACGTGATTGTGAGATAATATTTTTTATCCTTTGAGCCTTCAATTTATACATAAGACTGTTCGCCAAAATTATACTATTCACGTCATTGCTTCTCTTTTTATACAGTTTAATGCTTTTTACAGATTGATCAAGGTGGTTTAACGTTACCAACGACTGATAATTATCTAAATAAAACCGAACACGGCAAAGTTTTGGTGGCTTATTTAGATTACATGACCAAGGTATTTTACTCGAGACTTTAAAATGTTTTCCTTATCGAATTAAAATTTAAATAATTAATCTTACTTTCTCTCACATCAGATCGGTGTTCTTCTGGGGGGCGAAGAAAATTCAACGAGAAAAAAAATGCAGAACATCATCGACTTCGAGACGAAAATAGCTGAAATAACGACGCCTCAAGAAGAACGAAGGGACGAGGAAAAGATGTACAATCTCATGACTTTGCAAGAGCTGCAAGAAAAGGCACCATTCGTAAGTATTTCAAAAGGAGGGTAAGTTGTTTTTTAAATAAAAAAAGCTCACTTAGACTAATCTCTGCAGTTTTCGTGGCTCAAATATTTTCAAAACGCGACGAGCTTATTGAACAAGACCATAAGCAATCAAATGAAAGTAGTAGTCTACGCTCCTGATTATTTAAGAAAATTAACTGAACTCGTACGAGATTATAAGAAGACTGACGAAAAGAAAACGTACGTAGCTTTCGCATATGGCTAAAATTCAAAGTCAATCGAATAGATCGAAATTGTCCTTTTTTGCAGAATTTTAAATGATTATTTGGTGTGGCAAACCGTTCGGACTCTGACCTCGTGTCTGTCGAAACCATTCCGAGATGCCTACAAGGGACTACGCAAGGCCCTGATCGGTTCGGAAGGTCATGAGGAGCAGTGGCGCTTCTGTGTTAACGACGCCAACAACGTCATGGGCTTTGCAATTGGAGCCATGTTCGTGAGGGAAGTGTTTCATGGGAAAAGTAAACCAATGGTAGGATTACACATATATATCTTAACCATATCGTAAATTTGTAACGCTTTCCGAGTTGTGATACTTAATTTATCCACCCGAGAGTTTCAACAACTTTTTGATTGAATCTTCCAATTTTCGAGATATAATTACATTATTTATTATTACTTTGAGCAGGCTGAAGAAATGATCAACGAAATCAGAAGTGCATTTACGAAAAATCTCAAAAATTTAGACTGGATGGATGCTGAGACACGCAAGTCTGCTGAGCAAAAAGCAAATGCTATTACCGACATGATCGGCTTTCCCGACTTCATTCTCAACCCATCTGAAATTGACGATGGATTTAAAAATCTTCAGATAAATCCAAACGAGTACTTCATGAATAACATAAGAATAAATGTTTTTACGTTGAAGAAAAATCTTGAAAAATTGGATCAGCCAGTCAATAAAACTTCGTGGATCATGACCCCACCAACTGTCAACGCCTACTACACGCCGACCAAAAATCAAATTGTTTTTCCCGCTGGAATTTTGCAGAGTCCTTTTTTCGACATGAAAAATCCCAGTAGTTTGAATTTCGGTGGAATGGGTGTGGTTATGGGCCACGAGCTCACTCATGCATTTGATGATTTAGGTAAGCCAAATTCTATTTTTAAAAGTAAACGATAATAGTTTGCTTTAGTACGAAACGAAAAATTTTAGGTAGAGAGTATGACTTAAATGGAAATTTGCATCAATGGTGGAACAATGCGACAATTGACAGATTTAAAAATAGAACGGAATGTTTTGTTGATCAATATCATAATTATGAAATCAAGGGACGGCGCGTTAATGGTCGACAAACTTTAGGTATTCAAAATTCATAACACCTTGATTCAAATGTTTGCAAAACAGTTCATATTAATCAACTCTAATCTTAGGAGAAAATATTGCCGATAATGGTGGACTCAAAGCTGCATACCATGCTTATTTAGCTAAACATAAAAATATGGATGACCTTCTGTCATTACCTGGACTGGATCTTAGTCACGAACAGTTATTTTTTGTCAATTTTGCTCAGGTAATATCTATTTTTCATTTAAATCAAATATCTGCCACTTTTTATTTATTAATTATGATTTTCTCTATAATTCATTTTTTATTATTTCTGAATAAGTAGGTTTGGTGCTCGGCAGCAACTACGGAAGCAGTGAGTCTTCAAATTGAAAAAGATTCGCATTGTCCTGCTAAGTATAGAGTTATCGGACCCCTTTCGAATCTCGAAGAGTTTTCCAGAGAATTTAACTGCCCAAAAGGGTCGAGAATGAATCCAATTCATAAGTGTGAGGTTTGGTAAATTATATAAAAACACCAAAAAATGTTATAGCATTTTTTTTTGTAAATTACTACCAGATTTTTTTTAAATTTGCCACTGATATATGGTTACTCACGAATTTAGTTATCTTCGAAGAATTTTTTCTTCAAGCTTTCAAATTCATCCCCTTATCGAAGGGCGTCTGAATTCTTCAATCGTAATGTTTAATTTTTAAATGAAAATGTAAATCAAACTTCCAGTCACAAAGTATAAACGATGTAAAATATAAGGCTATAATGAATGTTTATAAGAGCTATAAAAAAGTCTGTATAGAAAGGTCTTTTATCTTATACAAAAACTAACTATTAAGTTAACTAACAATTGTGGAGTGCATGAAATCTTCAAGTTTAAGTTAATCTATTTTCATCAATTAACAAGAAACAGCAATCGTGGTTAAAAATATTAATACAGAAGTGAATCTGAAGTTTAAATCTTATTTGGGGCTGTACATAACTACGCCGAAATTTTACACTTTTATATATTATGAAATTTTTAATTGGTAAAATAGAATTTTCAAAGAAAAGCTTTTGAAAAACGTGAAAACGAGAAAAATGATGGTAGTACAGCGTTTGCCCTGTTAAATCAACAAAAGTATATAGTCGATGTTTCATTGTTTCTGCTGGCAGGATAAGTAGTAGTCTTAGAATTTTATTTTTAAAAAAGAAACAAATCAAATGAAATATTTTGAATCGACAATATTCAAGATATCGACTAATTAACTTATAAAGAATAAAGTATATGTTTCAATAGTTTCATTGAAAGCAACTTTAACTCCTATGTACTTTTAAGTTTTTGAGCGTAACTAAAAACTATATATTTCATTGTATATACAGCGAATAGTTTTGATTTATATGATTTTAAACGTTTTAAAGAATAAGTAACAAAAAAAGAAAACGCATGAGATGTAGAACACAGTGTTTTGCCAGCATTTTTCGAAAAAAATTGAATACCAAAAAAAAAAAGAAAAAAAGAATGGTAGTTTGTTTAATCCGAAAGAGCTTAAATAGGGACTATTTAAGACAACATTTTTAAGACATTAATCATTACCAAGAGATTTTTCAACATAATCATTTGTAGACTATAAAAAATTTTTTGAAACAACATTTTTTTGATCCAGCCAATTTTCTTTCTTGATTTCAAAATGTATAATTGTATTGATTAATGCACAAAAAATCATGAACGAGTTTCAAACTGGTTTTTGAGGCCCGAAAGAAAACTTGTTATCTTAATTGGTACTCTGAATCCTCAAAATTTTTTTAAAAATAGTCGTTCTAGATTTTATGCAGTTTTCTTGTCATAAAAAACCAAAGTTTCATAAAGGTATAGATATTTTAAGTAAAAATACGCAAAAATTCTGTGATAGTAAAAATTGTAATAAATGCATAAATTTAATCCTCATATTTACCTTCTTTAGCAGTAAATGCAGTGAAAAGTGTGAACAAAGAAAATAATTACTATGATTAAAGAACAAACATTCTAGCTCAAAGTCTAACGCTCCAAGTATAGAAGTTGTAAAACGGTATCTACTAAAATTTTCTAATTTTCGTAAATATTTACGTTGATATTTACTTTATTCAATACAACAGATCGAACCGTGAGTTTGAAAACCTTATAGCATATAATTGATGAGAACTTGGCAATATATGGCATCTCATCAAAAAATTTAGACAATAATTTGCAAGATAAGAATTTTGACCCATTTCTTTCAATTATCATGGAGGCAATTTTTAATAAAAATTTTTTCTACAATCTGCTCCGTTCAATGTCACTTTGGTGTGAAAATAAAAAATTTATTAAATGGTTGTCTTTTTACTAATGTACTGTGTTATGTATTTTGATGGTATTTAAACTCTTTATAAATAATGCGTTGACGCAAGTATGTATTCAATTGACATAGAATGATATATTAAAATTCATTTCAAATAAAGCTTTGCCTGGCGTTATTCGAAAAGACTGGAATGATCAAATAATCATTTCTGAGATAAATTTATATTTAAAATTTTCTGTGCGTTTTAAATCTTTACAAATAATATCATGTGAATGAACAGTATTTAGTACTATGCGTATGAAAATGTTCATAAAGTTATTCATTTTGTACAGAAATTCTAAATGTAGTTGGATGCCATTTGTATAAAATAAAAGTAAAATAACTTCTAACAATTTCAGTGAATATTTACGCATTTCAATGGAAGCTGCACAATTTACGCATCAAGATAAGTTATACAAAATATCTTCGAATGATAGAAAATTGTTATTATTTAAATAATCGAAATTTGTTATAGATTTGAAAGTATTATGATATGAACGTAAAAGTTTTATGGAGTGAAAATCACAAAGATTTAAGGCCTTTAAAAGAAGTGAATACAGTAGTCACCGCTTAAGAAAATCTCGTTCAAGAGAATCAGCCGGTAACTTGCTTCAAAATAGATGTCCCTATGTGATTCTTTTAAGCAGCGACCACTGTATTTGTATATTTGTTTTTACATGTATCAGTTTAAAATCGATTTAAGTTAAAAACTTAGATATTTATGTATTTTATAGTAATTGGATGTTAAGTAATAATTACATTTAATAAAATGTGTGAGAATTTTAAAATTACCACCTACTAAATATTTTTAATAATCCCCCTCAGTTTAATAATTTGTTGCTATTGCTCAGTTGAAGTTCTACGATAGCCCCAAAAGCAAGTTTTTGCTTTAGACGTCGAAAAATGATTTTTCTTCAATTTTAGGTTCTGAAATGAAAATTTTTTTATTTATTTTTAATTTGGTTTTCATTATTCACAGAGTATGAATAATTATGTTGGAAAATTTATACGATAATTGATTGTTTATAAATAAAAATATTTAAAATAATGTATCATTTTCAAGTATACACATCAGTATTAATACCTCCAAAAAAGTCCAAACTTTTTTTATTTCTCACTGAAATACAGCTTTTTTATTAAGCCTTTTTCGTATTTTTCTCGTGTGAAATTTTTTCTTTTTTGCGTTTTCGAAGTCAAATGAATCTTGAGTTTAAATGAATTTTGGATCGAAATTTTTTAGATTTTGATCATTTTTCACTTTTTTTATTGTGTACAATAATAAAGAGTCGGCTGATTAATAATTTCTTTGTTCAGTCATGAGTATAAACTTTAAAAAAATTTCGAATTTTAGATTTCACATGACCGTGCACTGAAATATTTTACCTAGCCCAAAAAAAGACTGCCTGAGAAAAACTAGTGAGAAATCGACAATTTTTAATCAAATCAATAGAACTTTTGGTTTTCAAAATGAAAGTTTTTGGTGTAAAATTTTTTTTCGGCTTTATATTTTATTTTCCCTAAAAAAGAATCAAATGCGTGGATTACAATCGCAGTGGTTAAAAATATCATAGTTCAAATACGAAGATGACTCTTACGCCTGGTATAATTACATTTAAATTTTGTAATAAAAACTCCAAGGCATTCGTGTAAATTAAAATTGTACTTATGAAATGTTGTCACGGGGGTTCTAATACCGTAAAAAAAAATACAAAATTATTTTGACCACAATTTTTCATTCACATATACTAAGTAATTGTTAAAATACTACCATTATCAGTCTCAGCTTAAGAAATTGATACAATTTCATAATACGTATGCAATGCACATATTTCTACATGAAATAATTTTCAAAAGTACAAAAAAATCACGAATTCCACTTTCGCATTTATTATTGTTCTAGTAATGTACTTAAACTATCAATTCTTCATACAACAGTTTTTTTATTTACGTTTAAATTGAATCATTCGGGCAAGCTAAAAATCAACAATGATGCTCATTTTTTTCGAATTCCATTGAATGTTGAAGATTTCAGCCATTTGTGTGTTAGAGAGGTTTGTAGTCATAATATGGTACAATGATTGTTCTAAAAAATTCAACTTTGAGTTTACATCTTGAAAATTATTGACACAAAACTTCAAGAAACTACCGCTTTATCATTTGCATTAGATGACTTTTTGTTCGTGATCGATGATACCTTTATTTATTATTCAATAGAAAATCGCTTATTGCCTTCTGTACGTTAGAGTGCTGACAGTCCTGCTTGACTCGAGTACTTTCAGTTACTTTCTGCTCTTGGTGACGGTAAAAGATAGTTGAAAAGAATGCTCTAATATTTAACAGTAATACATTTAACGATTTATTTTAAACAGAACAAAATGGTATTGTAATTTGTAGGTATTGATTTTCTTAGCTGACTCGACTATGATCTGTCGAGGCTAGATTGTAACTGTCAAATTTCACCGCGCAATGAACATAAAAAATATAAATAAACAATACACGTAGTAACTCATACAGAAATATCCAATTAAACATCACTTCCGTAAACACCTGCAATAGGTGAAGATTTTTAAATTTTACTTTCTATAGGTTTGAAGAGCTTCTTAGCTTCAAATCATGTTTGGAACGAGTTTAAATTCCAATCGTTTCTCGCAATGGAATGCGTGTCATTTTGTTAATATTGATCTTCAATGTATTACGTATTTTAAAATAAATACAAGTATGAAAGTGATTTGGTAAGTACGGTTTAACAAATTAAAAAGTGTATATAAATTTTACTTTATTGAACGTACGACTAAAAACTTAATAAATAATTGTCACTTCGTACATTATTTAGTATTTGCAACATACAATTTTTATGTAACTTTTTAATTTAAATCAATGCTATCTGCATCAATTACGCATGAAAATTCCTCAACGATGATTTAAATTTTGAATTAATTCAAAAGTACATTTACTATGAATTTCTTAGACCATAAAATGCCAAAGGGTAGGAAGAAGAGGAAGAGAGAGAGGTGGATACCCATGAACAGTGTAATTATGCATAAGCGTAAAAATTACAATGAAGTATTTTTTAGCTACTTTTTTCGGATGAATAGTTTACTTGACTTCTGCTTAGTTGTTCTGATTGCAATTTTTTAGGAAAAAAAGAAAAACATGATTGCGGAGTCAACATATTTATTAGGATATTAAAAATTTTTATTTGAGTATTAAAAAACGGAGAAAAAGGTTAAAATTAAATACGTTTGTATTTTGCATTTTATGCACAGCATTGTATTATTCATTTAATATTTTTATTACATATAAATATGTATCAAACAAACCATCACTTATTTCTCTCAGTCAATTGCCTGTAAAAATCTTACGAGCTAAATTCTTAAGTTGCTGCCACAAGAATTTTTTTCCGTGAATAATAGAATGGGTAAATGCTACAAGTTTCGTGTGCGGTTTATAATTCTGACGTTACAAGTATGTGCATAAATTTTCAAGCTACCTTTTTATTTTTTATTTATTAGTTTTTGTACTTGAATGAATGATCGTATTACTTTTACACAGAGTAAGCAATCATTAAATTTGTAAAATGAAGTACGCAGTATCATCAGTTCTGAACCTGATGAAGTTTATATTTTTTCCATGATTTTCAAAATAAGTAAGCAAAAAATATTATTTTTATGAACTTAGCCTTAGCTGCGTCTTATCGCGCATGAAATTACATGAGAAAAATTAAGAATTTACGCACTTATAGATATTTGACAATGTGCACAAAAATTTACTTCATAGTAACTAATCACTTCAGTTATTAAATTTTGTTGCTATAAATATTTTTATATCGAAAAAGTTGTGTGTAAATATTTGTGCGTGTGTTGAGAAAGATTATAACTGAAGAGAAAAGCAACAAAACGTTTAGCACAGAATTAATTTATCTACAGTTTTTTTTTTGCTAAAGAAATCTTCAGATTTCCAACTAAAGTTTATTTAATTCGTTATTATTTTTGTCTTAGCTTTCTTCCGAAAATGTTATTCGATGAAACGGACATTTTCTATCATGAAGTAAGTTGTAACAAAATTTAACTAAAGCTTTGTATCGCAATTATGATATACAAGTTTATACCGAATTTAATTATAATATTTATAATATTAATAATAAAGATAATAATAAATTTATAATAAAATTATTAGTGATAATTATTACATTATAATATTATTTTATTTACAAATCACATGTACTTAGTATTCACGCATACGCTTGCATCGGTGGCATTCAAAGTAAAAAAAAAATAAAAAAAAAAATAAACGATATAAAAGAAATATCGAATTAACATACACCGAGATCCTGTAACCATTGCAATTGTACCTCTCATTTCAAATGAAATATAATTTATTTATCGATAAGAAGCCCTGTCATAATCAAAATTACCAAAATTCAGAAACCTAGAAAAAATAGAATTTGTATGTTGTTGTCAGTGTATGCGCTGATATGTTTATGTGTATAATTATGTTTGTATGCATATGTAAATTTTGGTGAAAGGTTGAAAAACGCAATGGTGCCTTAAAATAATACCATGTCACTAGGAACTATTCGCCTCGAATCGCCTTTCTTGTTTCGACAGATTAAGTACAAGCTGACGTTAAAAAAATGTATTTATTTATTTTTTCATTTTTCTCATATAAAAAGTATAAATTGTCTCAGCATGCCTTTTTTCCGTCATTTCGATTAGTCAGTGCGAGTTCTCGATTTTCAATTAATTATTAGAATGAATTGTACTCTGAGTTGTACAATAAAAGCGATACACGCGTCGATATGAATCACTTTGAATCAATTTTGATACTCAGTAGTCGATATAATTTAATACAAGTCTAAATTGTTTTGTTATTCATCACTATTGTTTAATATTTTTGTCATTATAATTAATTATCTTTTTTTGTTTTCTTTTTTCTGCTCTCGACACGGATCATACGTGTCCTCTTCTTTTTTTTTTGTATAAAGAATACGATGGTAAAACGAAATCAACAATTCGTTAAACAATCTCATTGCACTCACTCGCTTGTCGGACATCACAGAAAGTCGAGCTCCGAGCGTGATCATTATATTATGTAATCGATGATCGCCTTATTATTATTTTTATTAATATCTTTTTTCATTTTATGTGACTAAGAGCAACCACAGCGCTCGACCACCATCCCGGGTAACCGTGAAAAAACGATCTGATATTCGTTGTCGAAGTACAGCATCGTGATCTCCGAGAGCTTGCGCGGGGCGCAACAGGGCCCAGTGTTGTTCGGTGGCTCGGCCAAGCTCACTATATGAGTGTTTGGGTACACGGGTAAAAACGCCATCGGACAATCGCCCGAGCAGTAATTTGCGTCGTATCTGCGAAAACACAAAAGACGTGATGCGATTAGACTATTGCACTACGAAAACTTAAAATTCGATACAAGATGTTTAACATGCATCACTAAGGTCTAACAAGTAACTTGATATAAAAAAAAGAAATTTCCTCTTTCTTTTTATTACTTTTTTTTGGAAGTAAAAGGTGTTGTTTTCAGACAGAACCACAGTTTTTAGTGTGAGATTTTTCCTTATTATATATATATTAAATATTTTGTTATCTAAGATTAAATATCTTTGAAACCTCAAAGGGGCATTCTGGTTTACAACTTTTTAAAAATCAATTTTTTTGTTGCATTATCGAACTGCTTTTACTTTGAAGAATCATCTCCTAAACTTTGATAAAGAAATTTGAATTCTCAATCAGTCAAACTCGGGATAGAGTGCCAGTAAGTACATGGTGTTTAACGGTAGAAGAACTTTTTGAACACGTTTTCCTCGATTTAACGTTTTTGTATCTGGCTGGTGTCTTAACTTGAAAAATCCTTGACCGATCCTGCTGGAATTTTTACTGCTTATGCTAACCGACCCCATTTCCAACGATAGCCACTACCTTTATGAACAAAATATTTATTTTATTTTATTTTTATTTATTTATTTATTTTTTACATATTTCGATTTTAATCGTGCAAGCCAGTCGAGACATTTTATTGTCGCGTGGATGAATATTCGCTACGATTGTATCGATGAATGGAACGGCGTTGGCATCGATTATCACAAGTTCTCTTATGGATAGTAAGCCAAAAAATGTCAGCGGTGGGCACCGAACTAAAATTTTTCCTATATAAGTATATATTTATAAGTCATACAAATATTTTTTTATACACTCCAAGAGTTACTTTATAGAATTCAAAACGGTCGATAGTCCTATACATCATCTATATAACACGAGAAATTCACAAGAATGATGTTTTTTGGTCCGTGTGAACCAGAATACTCCCTTAATAAAGTCGACAGACAAAAGTTGTTGCATAATAGGTATACATACTTTTTTGGTGCTATAATCCAGTCCCAGCCGAATTTCTCGAAATCGACAGTGAGCTTGTAACGACAGCATCTGGTCTCTTGGCTGGCCTCGTCACAGTTGAGGCCAACGTTGCGCTTAATGCGCGATCCGCGTCGCGTGTCCAGCTGCGTCCTGACTTCTAAGAAGGGTCCGATGTCCAAGTCGGGATTGGTCGCAACGATGCGATTGCCCTTGGCTACTTTACGGCCGTTTTGAATCTGAATCTTGATGGCAACGCCGAGGTTGTCGCGCGGATGCTTGAACCACTCGGCGACCATACGTCTGATGGGTATGGTCACCCACATGCCGCGGCGGCCCACCGGCCTCTGGTACTTGACCAGGAGCGGAGGACCAAGCTGCGGATTACTCGTGTTCGTGGGTCCACGCATCACTCGTTGGAGCAGTATGCTGACGGTGCCCTCGCTCGGGCCCTGCGAAAAGCCACCACCACCTCCGCCACTGTCCGCGTCGTAATCCTGCAACGAGAGCAGTCCGTCGTTTTCTGTCTCGTCGCGATTCTCCTGCGAGCCGTAGATCCAAAGTGACAGGTCGGCGTGGGTCACGCGATGCTGCACAACCTTGTCTGAGAATTTGAAGTATAACACTTCGAGGCTGCCTTTCGAGTGTCTGAGCCTTGGATCTGTCAAACAAATGCAATAAAAAATTTAAAGAAGCTGTTTTCCAGTAGTAAATAGGCAGCATTTTTTTATTTACACTTATAATTGGTAAATATACTGTGGGCTTATTATATCAAAGTGCATTTTACTTCGACTTTCACTAAATAATTTTTTAAAGACATTCAATGCGGTTTTTTTAGATAAAATTACGATACAGTAGCTGATAGATACTGTGCCGTGTGTAACAGACATATATATATATGCGTAAACTTCAGTCACACGTATTGAAGTCAAGAGCGCAAGAAAAATCCGTTACCACTGTTTTTACGCAGACCACAATGTTGCATAATATTTCTTAAGCACTAAAGAAGGAAAAATGTTAGAGTATACACTATTAACAGGCACATTTCAATCTATACACATAGCTACATGCTGATGTCTAATAAAATTGTATACTGAAGTTTTTCTGCAATGGAGGTCGATTGACAATTAAAAGCTGTTTGCAAGCTATTAGTTGAAGTTTGTTGAAGAATAACAGATCTGAAGTACATATTTTTCATTGAATTCATAGGTACTGCCTGGTTCATCTATATTTAAAAAAAAAAGACTACAAATATTCGAATAATTCACGCAGAAGAATTTACGTTAAAGTGAATCGTTTTCTTATTGTCAAATTACTTCAGAAAATATTTAAACATTATGCTGTATTTTTCAAACTTAGCATCAATCTCTTGTTGTATAGGAACCCCAAAACCCATTTGAAATATTAAATACTATTTTATTATTTTTTAAATCATTAGCTAAGAGAAAAATTAAGTATCTTGAAAAAAGTACTACGATCTTTTTATGAAATAAAATATCTAACTAATTCGTTTAAAATCTTAATAATCAAAAAAATACGAAAAATTTTACATTTCATGAATAAGCACATGCATGTAAACTAGTGTGAATTTAACTTTTCACATTAGCATACTATATGTAAAAGAAGTAATAAACGAATGCGGTTTTCTCCTGAATAGTCCAATATTAAATTGCGGTTTTGGTTACAAGTTATTTTTATCGCAATATCCATCATGTTTGAATGCATTTGTGTTATTGATTAATTAAATTCGAATATTTTGAGAATAATTACTGCGACAGCCGATAAAGATTTGCTTATTTCAATCATAGTAGATATTCATAGTTCTATCGATAAATTTGCCATACAATGTTAATAAACAATGTGACATATATGTCACTGATTATCTATGATGCTTTGGTAAGCGTAATTTCCATTTCTTTTACCAAGTTTCCCGTTTGCAACTTAGTATCACTTCATAAACATTGATATTCATTACTATACTCGACTATTTCAAGAATCTTCTTAAGTTGTTTGTACTTGGGATATTTCAAATGAAAACAGGCGATTTTACAATCATATTATATCAAACTAATTTTTAATAGCAATTGTTAATTTATCAAAAAAGGGGTAAAATCCGCAATTGATATATAGTAGATGGATTAAATACACAATGATTCTAAATTATTTTTTAATCCCCAAAAATATTAATTTAAGATCTCTGGAAATACCCTTGATTTAATAAGTTCTTTATCAAAATTATAAATGAATTTCACGATATTAAAGCTCTTTAATTGAATAATTAATCAAAGTCTAAATTCCACCAAATTTCTCATAAATAAGTAAGTCTTGCATCGAAAAGAAATGTCTCAATTGCATTATAATGTAGGTAGATCGTGATATGCGCGCGCGCGCACGTCTGACATGAGATAGATGCAATTTTTCATTTATCAGAGAGCTGTCAATGGCATTTTACAAGCTGTACTCGAGGAACGAGCGGATAACGCACAGTGAATTTACGCTGTTTCCTATATTTCGTCAGTATTATTTTTCAAGAGATACGGCGCAGTTAAGAAATATCGCAAATAAATTCGTGTCAGAGGTCAGCAAGGGCGCAAAATTCTAGGAGGCACGCAGCAGCGGCGGCAGCTGTAGCAGCCGCATCGGCGGTGGTGGCCCCTCTATGTATTATCGAAGAAAAAAAATACTTGGAACAAGTAGGGTAATTAAGTATGATGCAGTACCTCGAACGAGCCATGACGTCCAAATCATTAAGTTAAAATTAATCAGCGCAAATTTGTACTTGTTTTTATAATCACAGAAAAAATTATTCATATTAATCAATTATCAATATTAATTGTTACGCGTTAAGCGTGATAAGATATCGATGGCTCCACAGTCTCTCTCTTTCTCTGATTTTCTCTCATCGTCGCTCTCTTTCTCTTAGACCGAGAAATGAGCTGCGGTGCTGCACGGTAGTTCTACTTTTTGCAGCTCGAGATAATTCGCAGGGGGCGTTTGTATATCCTATAAGTCGTGATTGTGATAAATCTTCGAGTTAAAAAAGTACGTGAAATTTATTAATTTCTATGTTAATCTCGATCGAGGTATAAGTTTGGATTGGATAGTTTGAATTAAAAAAAAAAAAAAAGAGAGAGAGAGAGAACGCCTAATGAGACGAGCACACAATTGAATTAAAAAAAGTCGAATGTAATAATCAATTGTGATATCTGTCGAGCCGCACGGGAGATCAGGTACGCATGCGGCTATACATACTCGAACTTCAATATATTATTCTCTATTCAGGCCAGCAGTCGTCTTGTTCCATCCTTGGGAGCACAAGCTCAAATTTGTACCGTTATTATACGCGCACGCACGCACGCGTCCGATAGATCGCTTCTCGTGGTCTGTATACTTTTTTTTATCGTTGTATGGTTGTTGTTGGATGCTGCTACTTAAGATCTATATAATTCAAGTAAATAAATCGCGCAATATTGCTTGTAAAACGCGAGGTCGTCCTGCATTTTTCTCCCCTCGTGCGTCCATTCGTGTAAATCCCGCAGGATGATCATTACATGTATACACCGATGTGATTTTGGTATTCAATGGATCAACTCGTCCATTGAGTTTTTTCGCTCCATACGTCCACCTCTTTAATTCTTTATTTATTGTGGTGATCGTAATGCTGCACGTGCTGCGTAAAAGAGCCTGCGTATGTAGCGGAGTTATCCGGTATACCTGCCGTATACGTGTTATTCGAACTCGCGGTGATCAATTAACGATCGCGATCAATCCCAACGTCCACGTAAGCGTCTCTCATAAGTGCAACCTATCTGATTTTTCCGTGTTTTTTATGGTTTTTGTTTTTATTATATCGAATAAGCAATTTTGTAAACGAACTCATCATTAGAAATTGAAGATCAAGGACGTGCAGATTTGGCTAACGTCCTTGCAGACTTATTTTTTCAATTGAACTTCAAGGAGTGTAATGGACAAGTATAGAAAGTTGCAATTTCGAGTTATGGATCGACCATGTTCGGTCAAGTAAATATTAAATTTCCATCGCTTATTTCTTTTTAAGTAAATTAAATTACATTGACTTTTACGAGCAATATCGCGGTGTCGTCGAGACTATATAATCCGTTGTCAACTTTGCATAGAGAATTGATGTATTTTCAAGCCTCGATTGAATTCAGCAAGTGTGGATTTTTTTCACTTTCACTATACTCTCGTGGAGTGTAATTAAATTAACTAACGCTCCCGCTTACAGGAAGCATTAACGATAATAATTTCAAGGATCGAGCACATAATGCAATTTCAATCAGTCAATTTTACCTTATGTGTCAAAGTATATGAGAAACGTCAAAATGTCATAGACGTACATCAGTGTGCGCACTCGATCGAGCTTATGTGCGCAATTATCCAATTACCTTTTATCAAAAGTCTTACACACTTGCCTACAAGGAGGGAACTTCAAACTGCAAAGTACGCGTGACAGAATCGTGCATTAATGAAGACATGGCATAGACATTGTTTCTTGGCAATGATTCTATTTTGATTCGCGATGTAACTGCGGGCGGATGTTAATATTCAACCCGAGCCTCCTCAAAAGTCACACTCTCGCGGCGGGCAAAATAGCTTATACATACACGCGCGCGCGCGCGGCGGGTGCAGGGGGTTAATTGAAGTGAGACGCAATTAGGTGTTGGAGCGGAGAAACGCGAAGTATAAGCGCGCGCGTACGAAAGCTTATACAGCTTGCAGTGCTCCCTGGCAAGACAAAGTTACTTCGGGTGCGTGTCAAATACCGCGCGAGACGTAAAAATACAAAAAGAATAGGCTGAGATTCGCAGACGGAAAGGCGACTGAAAAATAGTGACTTATTTACGTCGACGAGTAGCAGCATACATATATGCCCGTCGAAGAAGCAGAGAGCTTGTGTGTGCACGCACATGCTCTTGCCTATGTGCACGTTATGTACCCGCGTACGCGAGAGAAACGGAAGAGACTCTTTTTCATCCAGCATATGCTCGAGTGCAGAAAAAATAATCGGTGACACACGGCCACTGCCGATCGCCCGAGCTTTACGTCTGTAGTTGAGGAATGCAATTATTTTTATGCGTGATTTTCGAAATATCTCGAAAAGAGGATGAAAAATTTGTCGCTCGAACGATCCCTCCTTTAGTTGCACGAGAGTTGAATGCACACACAAACACTCACGTACAAGAGATAAACGTGTATATGCGAAAAAATCGAAGACAATCGTGCGCATCGAATCTCGCTGTAAGCTCGTATGCATTATACACTCACACATGTGTGTGCGATCCGACGCCTCTGATTTATAAGGCGAGATAAATATAGCTTTTGTCAACGCGGAGGTCACTCGCACCACCGATCTGCTTTTTCTCTCTCTCTCTCGTACTCTCTAAATCTCTCTCTAGACGATAATGCACCTCATTGAATTGCCGCACTCGAATGTACGATCGTCGTTCGATGAACGTAAAAATAAAGAAATTTACGCTTGTTCAAGTTACATAATTTAGCACACATTATTGCAAATTAGAGCAATCGTACGGTTTGTGTGCGTTATGCTATTATTTCGGCTTTTCTCAAAAAAAAAAACGAATTAAATTTATCGTATCGTTATGATTATACGTGACGTACATTATAAATGATAAATCACAC